AGAAACCCAAGAGCTTTAGTGTCGAGTACTTTACGTAATAACTGTCTCATTTCAAAGTAGTTTGTGAGTTTGGGTGGATGATTACATTTCAGAGTCAGTTTCTTTTTTTTCCAAATTACTTGGAGGAGAGAGGCTCAAGTCTGCAAATTACATATAAATGTTGCTACTTCGTCCACCTTGAGCTCTCAGGCTGTAGAATGGTTGACGATTATAATAATAATAATTGTTTCGGGGATTGCTTGGAATAATATGAGATTTTGCAGTGCCGCTATTACTGAGCTTGGAGGAGGATGTGGATTTCAGCATCATTTCATAATGGAATCCTTCAATCTTTTGTCTGTGTCTCTCCCTTTTCTTTGCTTCCTGTCCTCATTTATGCTGCATCCTACAATTTTGCTGCTAGAAAAACACTCTAGTTGTCAAATGCGTCAAAATGTATCCATTACGGGTGCTTTCCATCGTTAGCTTAATGCTTCTTGATGAAATTTTACATTTCAAGTTAACCTATTAAGTGCGATCAACTGAAAATGCTGAAACAAATTTTAGTGAAGTTCAATTCGTAACCACTGTAATTGCGTCGTTGGTCCAAATTATAGAGCAGAGTGTACGTTTTGCCACATTGCTATTAGGACATTGATATTACATGCAACAATCATAAATTGATAGTCTTTCTCCAGCTCCAGTACTGCAGAAATAAAAAAGTAAAACAAGTTTTCACTTGAGCCTTCCAGCCATTTTTAGTCATTTTCGTTTTCGACGGGAGTTTCGCATTGGCATATTAAACCTAACTAGTAACTAAGGTCATTGTTTTTGCCAATTACTCATGTCTCTCTTAGTGCCACTCTTAATTTGTGTTTCCTGGCTTCTAGTTTACCTTTCCACCAGGATGACAAAGTTGAACAAAGTTTATCTGTGAATTGATAACTGCAAAGCATTTGTAGGGTTTGTTTACGTTCCCTGTTGAATAATCTAACCAGTCCAAGTTCACGACTTGTTTGTTATTTGCTTGTGCACAAATTACATGACTGACTATGTATGAGGGGACAATATTTACAATTGCATAATTACAGTGACTGATTGTTAAATCCGTCAGTTTACATATTCGAGTCTAATTTGCTCGTCTGAATTTTCTGTAACTTCTAAATACTTGAACTCTGCGATGCACTAATTGTGCAAATTTGTCCGTCGGAATAATAACCCATCGAGGTACGATACTTCTAAAACAGAGCACATGCATACTCTGTATTCTCAAATGGCAAAGTGCATAATTAGACAAACTAAATAAGGAGGTGGCGAGGTACGTACACACCAAATGTACATGTAATAAATGTGTATCTATGTATGTATGTACATATCTATGCATGTTCATATGATATCCATTAGTTGGCATAAGGCAATCCAATCACGGCTTCACTATTATTATTGAGACATGATAATCCAAGCAAGAAATTTAATCTCGGTAAACTTAATCGATGCGGAACAGAATATTTATGCTGCGAAAGTACACAGAGAAATATATAGGGCCAGACTCAACCCAAACAGAGTTTTGTCAAGTGCAGGAGAGAATGATAATATTGCATCTGCATATCTCTGCGTGATTTTAACCGTGATGATGAGCAGCCGAGTCTTATCTTCCCTCCAGCAGTCAGCGAGCAGCTATTTGTCTTTCTTCGACTGAACTAACTCAGCCATGTCCAAGTCGAATTTAATTTGTACGTGTCGTCTGTGTCTAAATATAGGCAAGTGACACTCATTCTTAATGAGCAGGAGAAGGGTTGTTCTCAGTCTCTCTCAGGAACACATAGCAGGACGCATAATATCATTCAACAACCAATGATTGTAAAAGTGAAGTGTATATTTTTGTATGCACGGGACAGCCCTCTTATTCTCATCTCATCTCTCTTGTCCTCTCACTTATGCATGTTCTACACACACGTCTCATGATGACTGGAGACTATTGCTGCATGGCAGTTAGTGGCAGGCTATTCGTAGAGTACTGTGACACAAATTAGTGCTTTTTCACCAAGTTTCCTACAGTTCACTAAATCCAGACTGAAAAAATCACAATACATATACTACCTCAAGTCACCATGAAATTCTATCCTATTAAAAATCACTATTCTCTTGTAATAGTCTTCCAGAAAAGATAATCTCTCGTCTCCATTTTATTCTTCCCTTATTCTATTTACTGTCAAGAAGAAGGCGATAGACGAAAACTACAAGAGGACGGCTAAACTGCTTAGACTCGGCTTAAACCAGACCGACTACACAATCTGTTGACTATTGAAAGGGGAACAGCGCAGTTTCTACTCATGGAAATCGGCTAAGCTCTCAAAACACACGACTGACTGAATTTCCCCTGTAGAACAGAGAAAGTGGAAGAAAGACTTTTTGGCTGCTCCAAAAAAGAGGAAATTAAAACTCATTGATAATCTTGTTGGGACAGCAGTTTTTATTCAACATTTCAGCCCGATCTCATCGACCGACCGACGGACCATTGGGAAGTCCGTTGATTGCAAAAGTCTGCAAGAAAAGAGGAAACTAACTCAAGTCTCGTAATCTTTCCTTTGGTCTCCTTGTCACAGCCTCAGTCTCTCTCGCTCACTTAAGTAATGGGAAGACGGCGAAAGTGAGCAGTTCAAGTGGCGAAAGAGAGAGAGAGAGGTGTTTAATTTGCTAACTGTGTGATGTGATTTCAAGAAAGTTCAAGTGTGAAAGGAAAGATATCCGAGTCTTATTAGAGGAGAATCATTGTCCGCCGATCCAGTCACAGCCACGCCACACTCAAGTTTTTGAGTTTAGAGGAGAAGAAGAAGAAGGCGAAGAAGTTGCGTTAAATAAATTCGATTGCCCTGAATTGTGAAATCTTTGTCCGGTGTTGACGCAGCAGGCTCTACACGCTGTCCCTTTTTCCATTGTGCAGCCTCCGTGAAGGAGAAAGCAAGGAAGGCAGGTGAGTCGGACAGTTGTTGGAAAGGCGACTAGTCCTCGGAAGTGGGCCAAGGAGTTGATTTTCGTTCCTTGCTTTGAACTCGCTTCTCGAAGGGTACTTGGTTGGTGGTGGTCTGGCTGGCCGGCATGCTGGGAAAGCAAGATTGAAAAAGTGTTGCAAGGGATTCCTACATTCTTCATCCCACCTCACATTGTACATCACGTCATTATTCTCCTTTATTCATTTCCTTTCTTCATTTCCACACTTAGTCACCCAATGTAGTAGACAAGTACAAAGGTGAGGAGAGAGTGAGAAAGAGAGTGAATAGAGAGTTTCACACAGTCTGCATGCATACACATGTACGATGGTCCAGCATAAATGATCTCGCCCACCAGGTATCAAATAGATGTGAGAAAGTAATGCAGAGATAAATAAGTGTCGTCTTATCTACACGATTCCAAATTCCTAGTCTTTCGCTATATTCTTCCAAATTGATAAAGAAGACTCATGTATGGCAACCAACCAGTGTTAAAGTTATAGCCCGGGTGATAATAAGAAAGAATGTGTTGCAACTTTGTGCCAGCATCGTTTTATTTTAATTTGGTGTAATTACGTGAGTAATTTTCAATTTAAGAACTTTCTCTTCTACAACGTTTATTTTTGCGTCATTCTGATGTTGGTTGTTTATACGTAGTAAATATCTCAGACAGAGAGAAAGCATTATTTTGGTCAGACGTATTCGGTGTGCAGGCATCAAGTTGGTTCAGCAAGGGAAGCGGTGGCACGAGAGAGCGAGAGAATGGGAGTGAAAGTAAGTAGCCGTGCCGCAATGGTTACGAGTTGCTCAGGAGCTCATAGTGCTCACAGTCTGATATGCGTTTCCCTTCTGCTCAACGTGTGTGTTGCCTCGTGCAGTTTTCGCAAGAAATTGTTATTATAAAGTAACAAAAGAGAAAGGTCTGAGGTGAAGTGAAGGTAGCGTGGAATGGATGAGAATATAGAGACAAATTGTTCTTGGTCTGTTGTGAAAGCGTACTAAGTGGTTTCACTTTCGCCCGGAAGGGGAAACTTATTGAGTTTGGTACCCTTCCACGGCCAAGTTTTGTCAAAAAACTGTTTCCAGTTTATAGTTGCAGTTGTATCAATTTCTCTTTTGTTACAACTCCCAAACTATGTCACTCAAACTCAGCTCCAGCCAAAGAGCAACATGCAAGGACCAGTTTTACTTGGAATAACCCTAGCCTCAGGTAGGTCTAGGATGTGTGCCTCCTCCTGCTCGGCAGTAATCAGTACAGGCCCTTGAGGTTCATGCGCAACGAGAGTTAGTTTGTTTGGCGTGCCTAACACCTTAAATCCGCGTACTTACTTGATATATAGTTTATACCAACGACTTGGAAAGTGTCCATTTGATTAATTGATCTAAAAGTTCTCGAAATATTCGGTTCATTCGACACTACAGATTACATACGCCTTTAAGCCGGATAAAGCTAAGGGAAATGAAAGTTGTGCCTCCAAATGTATGGTTTAGACTTGCATTAGTATTATCATACTTTGTTGTCCTCATTTAACTTCACATTCCCACGAAAACTCTCCGGCGTTGGACGTTTGATGTCTCAACTCTGCGTGCCCACAAAATTAGGAAATTGAGCTATTTTTTCCTCTTCTATATTCTTAAAAAGGTCTGGCGCAAAGTTAGCTGGGTTTGAGGCATGTGGAGTGAGAACCTAGGCCAACAAGGAGGGTGTGAGCCAAAGGAGCGTCCAACTCATCCAGCCACCGAAACGGAAACTGAAGAGAAACCAAACCAGAGGAAGAAGTATCACGCACTGGAGGAGGCAGTGTCAGCGCGTGTTTACTTGTGGGTGAGGATATAGGACGACAGAGCAGTTAAGTTGGACGAGAGCGAGGAGAAAAGCAAAGGCTGCCGCAAATGTGGAGAACGGGCCAGAAAGAAAGCAGAGAAAGTTTGCAGCAGTTGGAGCTCGTTGGTCTCCTTGAAAGTTGGCGTGGATCCGTAGTTATAGCCTAGTCCTCCTCTCGTAGCGTAGCCGTGTCGTGCCATGAATTTGCAGAAGGAGCATCAGCAGCAGCAGTAGTAACACAAAGTGAGAAATAGGGATTTTCATCTTGGTCCTATTTTCCCCACAAGAAGGAGAAAGTCACGTCAAAGAACAGATAAAGGTCCGCAGGCTATTTTTAGGCAATGTCACCTTGTCTCATCTTTTAATTTTGCGTGTTGTTTGTCTGCAATATCAAAATACGTGATTGTACATATGTAGTTGTACGTAGGTGTGTCGAGTGCATATCTCCTTTTCTGCTGCTTCACTGACCTCTCATCCACAGTTGAGGTTGACTTTGAACAGTCGTCTCAACCAATCAACAAGCAAGAAGTGAAAAAAAGTCTCAAACAGAGGAAAGAGTTCCTTCTTGAAAAGGGTGTGTGTGTGAATGAATCGAGTCAGCCAGATCACTGCCACCAATATCGACACCACCAGCCAAAGCCTTTCTCCTGCATTGGCTGAGATGCTGATATCTATCAAAGCAAAACCGAATATCCTCATGTTTCATCATATCCACTCGAATAGTGAAAACAACTTTTTCCTTCCGGCAAGTAACTGTAGATTTATTTAACATTTATAGGCTGTGCCAAAACAAGAAAAATTCTAGGTTCATACAATTGAGTTTTGTTCAAGTTGTGTCAAAAATCGTAGAAAAAAAAATCTCGTAGTCAAGTCACCAGTCTCACCATCAAATCAACCAGACTCGACCAGAAAGACATATGAGAGATAAGAGTGATTTTGAGAGGATGGATGATGCTGCTGCTGCTTTTGCTTGGACTGGAAAGTAGCCGTCGTTGTGGCAGTGGTGGTGAAAGTGGAAAAGTGAAAGCAGTTGGGATGACAAGCAGTGGAGAGGCGACGGAGGAGGAGTGAGTGGTGGTGGTGGTGGAAGTGTGTAGTTATCGTTGTTGTTGTTTGAATAAGTGTTTCGAACTTAAGGTAAATTCTCCAGATTGTCAATTGTACGCTATAATGTGTAGCTATTGTAGTGACTGTTTGAAATTTGACTGTGTTCATTCTTTTGATGGCAATGGAAGCCAAAGTGGAAGTCAACAAAACTCTGGTATCCTTTATTTTGCTTTTTGTTACTCTATCAACTATTATTACTCTTTGTGTTGCACTGCACGAAACGTTACTAGATTGTAATACGACCGTCTCAAGTCAAAACCTCGCCATCTTAATCACACTCTGACTTCCATACTTGTAAACATATTCACTTGTTCGATTTGCATGCATGCAGATGCTGCGTAGCAGAAACCTGGACAAGAAGATGTAATATGACCATTTTATTATAGAGCATGCATATTGGTCTTGCCTTGTAGAATAAGGTAACTAACCTCATCGATGAGCATGTGAAGTTCAAATATATATTCAAGGCATGTTTTCTTCACTTACTTATGACCAGAGTTGTGTGTGTGTGTGCGTGTGTACTAACTTATTTAAAAGTTAGTTTTTAAGCAGGTGATAAATACGTATAAAACCGTAAGTCCACGCCAAGTTTAAATAACGGAAGTTATTGATTTTTAAACTTCAAAAATCGAAATATCATGCAGTGTGTACCTCTTAGAAATATGCCCGATTCCTTTCCACAGCACATATCATAGCTTTCAGCACAGAACCATTATTATCAAGATTTACTGTACATCCATAGGCTGCAGTTCAATGAATATGTGTTATGAACCCATTTGCATGAAATAATCGCTTCATTTGCATTTGTTTAAAATTGTTTAGACGACGAGCTGGGAGGCATCATCCCATCCCACGGAAGAAGGAAGACCCACGCGAGGCCTACCTTTGGTAAGTTTTAAGAGCAGAAGCCACTAGTTCTTCTTTCTTAACAACTCAGAAAGTCTTGAAAGCTTCACCACCGCCATAATTTCATCTTCCTTACTAGTTTCCCCATTAGAACGAAACGACTCCACTTACTACCTATGCATTGAACCACCAGCAGCACTTTGTCATCTTACTCAGGTTTCTCAAAGCGACATTTCGCCCAAAATTCTTGAAAAGTGAACACGTCAGAGAAACATGTATAATTTTACTTGTATTGGGTTTCATGGTGACTCTTGCTTACATAAACCAGCCCTAAATACGAGTCCTTCTATATGTACTTGCGTAAGGTAGGGTGACGTCGAGGGCATAGGAATCAAAATTGGTTCAACTATTGTGAGTTAACACGATTTGATTTGTGACTTTATTATCCAGAGCGGAGCAAGAAACATGCTCAAGTAACATGAACCTCCGCAGGATGGATGGACAAAGTAAAGCACGGCTTATTTAAATGTCACTTGCAATTCCGGGGACACTGAGCAAGATCGAGTTGACAGTCAGTGGCACGTAGACGCGAGACGTTAAGCCAATTTCAGCAAAGAGAGAATTGGATTATAAAGAAAGAAAACGTGTTAGGTTAGCAATTTACTACTGAAAGTCAAATTAAGCACCAACTCTTTGCTTACACACACATCAAAGTTATTGAGTTGATGACATTGTTTTAGTTCTTTAGCTCTTTAATGATTGATGCATGGAATTCACTAAGTTGAATTACGACGTTTTTTTGTATAACCAATCGTCAGTTTACGCAGTTAATCAACAGCACATTCATTCCTTCTTTCAATCCGAAATATTTCTTACTTACGAAAGAGTTGCCTAGTTAACGTGTCAAATAACTCATTTATTTAGCTGCTGAATAGATTCCAATTAACTACAATAATAATAAAATGCTCCAAAGAATGGTACTGTACTGGGTTTGATCTCAGAAAGAAATTGGAGAACACATCACAATTTGTGTATAAAAACCAATATCGAATATATTTTTGTAGCTAGGGTCGAAAATATCGACCACGCAAGGGACAATAAAGAAATGTATGCATAATTCTTGCTGCAAACTTATTAAACAAGGATCATGCTTTAAAATTAATTACACGAGTTTTGTGCGACATCAAACAACATCTATTCACATGACTTTATATGCAAATCTTGTTCAGCAGTTTAATTTAGGTTCACTGTATATAAAATCCTGATAAACCAGGGATATCTGAGAATGTCATGTAAAACACTCATGATAATAGTTTAACAAGTTGAGCACTTGTAATGTAAGACCTTTCAAAAACAGTGGACCAGAGGATCAATTATCAAAGCCGCATCAATGAACAATGCGGTATATGTATATATGTAGCTCTAAAATGCAAATTGAATTCACTCACCTCCGCCATTTACGAAAACTCGACCGAATTAAAACGGTGATAATGGATCGCATCCCAACATTTCCTCTCATGGAACACCGCACACAACTCGTGAATGGCTTTCAACTTTCCTCCAACGAAACGCTCGAGTGAGAGGAATGTCCACTTATCATTTTATGAGGACGGAACAAAAACTCTCGTGGTTTACCTTCTGCTGCAAAATACTGCCAGACAAAGCCATCAACATTAGACATAATATGAGAAATACGTATCTATATACATATACATATTTCCTACCTTTCCATGAAAGGAGAAAACTAGAGAATTTCGCATTTGGTGCTTTGCATAATTTACGATCCACACAACGCGCATAAAGTGATACAATAGGGCCAATATTTGTCATAAACAAATGTGAATAACTTGGAAATTTTAATGATGATCAATTTCATGCATTAGTTTAATTATTTGCAGACTGACGTAATCAAATATCACTTGCGTTCACTAATATAATTTTTTTATTACATGCATATTGTTTGAAAACACTTTCGTCCATGCAAAAATATATATTTACGAATGCATAGTATCATTTTATTACCACATTGTTCTTTGAAATAGGAAATGAGAAACAATTCATAATAATATTTGAGAATGAATTTCCCTTTGACAGGCATTTATAACCAGTAACTGAACCTGAAATCGGGACAAAATTGTCAGTCACGTATGTACGATGATATATGTATGCACGTATGTATTCACGGCGAAATTGTTTCCAATATGTAGAAGCTTGGTTTTGAGATGACAAACGACCCTGGTTGTCTCAAGAGCAAATAATTTTAGCCCGAATTGAGATGTGTGTCTGGCGTAAGGCATTAATATCAACAAGAGAAATGAGGAGCACAAAGGAAAGGCAAGATACAGTTGGCTCCACTTCCAGTGAAAAAGTAATTCAATTTGGACATGACATTTTGGCATATTATTATTAATTAATTATATCCCTCCAGCATCTTGCCCTCCGTTCCGTCCCTTTTTGCGCTCGATCTACTTCTTCCATGAAGATGCGAGCTCGTGGTTCATACTTCTCGCTGGTTATATGTAATTGCGACTTATTGCTTATTATGTACTTACTTTGACCACACAAATTAACAAAGACGTGCAAATATATCTATATATGTATATGTACGTACGTACGTACGTATGACCGGTATGGGTATGAAAAAGTATAGCACATGTTTTGTATCATGTTTCATGACGCGTTCTTCATTCCATCCAAGTATAGATATTATGTACATATAGCTCGATAGCTGTTGATGTTGGGTTACGGTTTGAGCAAAAATAGATCTAAACTTATAGGCGAATTACTCAAAGGGGCGAAAATACAAAAGCGCATCATTCCTGCTCCGTCTCGCTGGACCACAAAAATTTGCTAAAAGTAAACGGTTGCTGCAACCCACCAACAAGAGCTCGTCGCGTGTTATTTCTTCGTTTTCTTTAGCTCGGCGATTCCACATTTTGGGGAAAAATGAAGAGAGAGAGGTTGGTTTAGCGTGGAGAGATGTAACGAAATGTAACGGAGGAACGAAAGGGTTGAAATGGATTCATGGATCTCTGGCTTCCGAGTTTCCTATGGGCTGGGTCCCATAATCGATCGCTCTTACAACTTCGCAACGTAAACGCTGCTCCTGAGTTTTGGGTGCCTACAAAACAGCATCACAATGTTTTTCGGTGCGTTGTTGCTTTGTTATCCAGCTAGTAGTAGACCAAGTAGCAGGGAATTGCTGGTGTGGATTCTCTTTTAGCAGAAGAGGGTTTTAGTTGCACGACGGATAGCGCAGATGAGAACATACAGAAGGGATTGTATTTACACTTTACAATTTCACACACTCAACATCCATCTGCTGCCTGGGGTTGTGCACCTCGGCTAAAAATCAGCCCATCTTTAAGTAAACTCACGACCCTGTGTTTTCTTAACTAGCTAAAGCAAGAGAGACGACGACGAGGCTTCAAAAAGTAGCGAATTGTCAGAACTACAAGATCTGTTTATTTCTCTCCGGTGTTGTATTTTATCTCTCACTCAGGTAGTTACGAATTTACGAAAGCACAAACCGAGTCGTTGAATTCAAACTTCTAGTCAAAATTTAATGCGTTTCTTGCCTCTCTCCTGCTGCTATTTCTGTGTCATTGTGGTATTTCTAAATTGGAAGTGACGTAAAAGTAGTTCCACGTTTTACACTTTAAAGAAAGCAAGGAAATGCACAACTCCCGTTTCCACTGTACAACAACAATTGCACTTCATTATTTAAAGGCAACGACATAAACGTGGAAATGGTGCGGAAAGGTTACTACTACTGCTACTGACCGTTGTATAGCGATTCAACTGGAAGAACAGAGGGTTGCGGACAGGATAATAATACCGCACCTACTGACTGACCATAAGGTAACATCTTTAAGCTGTTGTCAGTTTATTGTGTAACATAAAACGATTATCGTACCGGAACATTCTCGAATACAACAAATATAAGCTGAGCATAATAGCAGCATTAGATTCCCGTCTTCCAATAAAAGAACATTTTAGAAACATTGCGGCTGTTACTCTTTCGATTTTTCAATTATAATGTTTTGTGAAGAAAGGATCTGACCTGGTTTTCTCGAGAAACACGAAACCATTTAGCTCGTGGGTGGATCACATCATTTTGGTTTTAGTTTTTTTTCTCCTGCCGCACGGCAATATATAGTAAAGACATAATTGAAGAAAGTGCTCAGATAGAGATGGATACGACACGCATGCTTTTTGGAGGAGAATCAATACTGTTTTTACCACGAGGCCATAAATCCTGGCAAATGATAAGTCACTTATTTTATATAGCCTGTGCAAACATCCATTACCTCCAAGTTTGTTTAGGATGTTACTTTGTCACCATTCTAATTGCACTTGTGCCGTGTAAGAATAATTGCACTTCATGGTGTGCTTACATGTGTACATAAACCGGAGATGGAAACCATTTCTTATTTCGTGGAAGGTTGATTCATATTACTATTAACGTGTACTAAACTTATGAGTGAATTTATTAACTGATTAATGCAATAAAAAAAATTATCACAGCGTATGAGAAAGAGCATCGTGAATGTGAAGGGGTGCATATTTTGGCTGTTGAACTGAAGCAGAACGTGGCTTAGCACTACTCGAGGAAGTGAAGAACATGAATCACAACAAAACTGGGAGCATTAGAGGCCAAAGCGATTTAATAAATCTGTAGAACACACACCGACCGGAAGCTTCATAAATCAGGAATCTCATGGTTCACTTCGTTCGCTGACTGATTGACAGGATTCCTCTCTCGAAAAACAATATCTATTTACGAGATAGCATAACGTATAGAGTTTCTACGTTAGGATTAAATTGCTCCTTTATTGCCAAAATTCCAAGAATGTCGACATTTTTCCCCAGCAAGGAATGCACAGTAAAAACAGTTAAAAGTTAATACTGCAGCTAATTGGAGTGAGATGGATTGGCAAGTGTGTGTTGCAAATGATACATTTAGGTAGCTCATTGATACGATATTCTGCAGCCTGCTCTCTCTCACTAATGCATACATATGTACATATGTACGTATGTTCTTATGTACATACATGTATGCGTGTCAATTCATCTTGAAAGTACATTTGTTTGACCTCGCAGAAGCAGCACTATAATTTTTACCGTCTGTTAAAAAACTGTCTGTTGAACAATATTAGCACATTTATTCCTGGGTATGACTCGAATGAGCTCATCTTCTCACCTAATGAGCCCTGACACACTTTGATTACCAGTCTAATGGAGAAGTGCATAATAATAATGCATTCATTCCCCTGCTTCACCATGCATCGGAAGATAGCGCCTTATCATTACGTTTATCCATAAAGAGCATATTAACCCATTTGAACACAGTAATTCAGTATTCATCATTTCACTCCCGCACGCTCTCCATCATCCAAAACTCTCATGCAATGAGCAGATGTAGGTTATTATACATTCTCCCATACGCTCAATCAATCAAGGAAGTTGGCAATTGTTGGGTGCCGTTGAAATGTGGAAAAAGTTGACGTTTCAGTTTTAATTTTAAGGGTCTCAACTGTTGGGTGGTGGCGTCGCTGGTGCTGCTGGGGGAGGAAGTGGACGTCAGTCAGACACAAGTGCAAATGGGCTACCACGAGCTACCAGACGGATGAAAATGGACATGATGAATGTAAGTATTCCAATTTTAGCAAAACCTGAAGAATTCCTTTCTGTTCCCGTGAATTCCGCTGATCTACTTTCTCAGCAGTCTCTGCTTAGCTTACTTGCTGTGTCAGTTGGTTCACGCCACTCATTATTCATCTAATCGTATTTCCTCAGCTTTTACCCTAAAATTTAAGGCTGTTATTGCTTTCTTCCAATTTTACTCCTGCTCAGCGTTCGTGATGGATGTTTATTTGCTCGGCAATCTTTATGGTTTCTAGTTTCGTCAGCGTCTATTTCAAGAATTTACACGTCTACATAAAGTAATTCTCTCAACTATGCTCAGCAAAATAAACGAGTATTCTCAAAAAAATTCTTGAATCCATTCCTTCAGTTACTACTTGTTGTTGTATGTATTTAGACTGAGGAATGGTGGATGCATGTTTCACTGTGGACCATTTATTGTGCCGTTCCTCTGCTACTGCTATTGATAGCGTTCATGACGAAATAATGTTTTCTTATCCTCCTCCCACTCCTACTAAATATGTAGTAAAAAATCAGAATAAAAAATCCCTTTGCTTAATATTTATTTAAATGTTTTTTTTTGTTTAATTGTATCGTGACTCATAAATGTGGACCTTTGAACTTTTAGTCGCCCCCACCACCACCAAAACATCTCGGTGGTAGTGGTGGAACGTCCAGAATGATCAGTACCAAGTCGGCGGCTATCGTTCAGCCACCCGTCTACAGCCACACAATTTATCGAAAATTGTCCCCCGACTATCCAATGTACACGTACCACTACAAATCCCCCTCTATCTCTTCCTCCATCTACTCAGAACCCATCCACGCTAGGTCTTCGTACAAGCAGGTTCTATCACTCACTTTATTTTTTGCTTATTTTGTACGATATTACTGTGTGCATTTTCATTATGAGTTTTACAACTAGAAAAATGCATATTTTTTGGTGTGTAAATCTAAATGTAAAACCCCATAGTGTGACCTCAAAAGTATTTAGTACGATGCACAAGTCCAAATTGCAATCAATCAAACATGTAAAAATTAATGACAATGCATTCAAGCAGTATTCTGGCTATTTCAATAGGGGGTCTTCTCACAACGGTCGGCTTTTGGTCGACCACAGCCTCCTCATCCATCTAGTGCAATGTTTGACGAAGCTGACGACCCTGGCATCATGTCGGAAGCGGGTAATTATATTAAAATCTTGCAACCGTTATGTGTAAAAATGGCAAACTGTTCAAACTAGAAAGACTTGCATCATAGTGGTTAAAATGGGATGCTAAAATCTTCTTGGTCGTTTAGAAACCGCATCGACAGGGTTTCGAAGAGGTGGAAAGGCTAGATCGTCCTTACCAGTAGTGCGAACGCCAAGTAAAACCTTGGAAAGACCTTTGGGTAAGTGTAGATGAAATCAGTCATGTAGAACGAAAGGCAATCAAGTGGGTGGTAATGGAGAGAAAGGAATGGATTTTTTGTGTGTGTACAATTGTGCTTTCACTTTAGGTTTGGTGTTTCTCCAGTATCGAACTGAGACTAAGCGTGCTTTGCTACCAAATGAAGGTAATAAACTCCTTCGTACTTTTTTATTTATTTCAAAATGGGTTCCAAATTATGCATCAAGAAAGTGATTTTGATGATGAAAATGTTATAAATCCTTAAAGCCGGTTTCACTTACCTAAAAATTGACAATAAATTGTATACGCATGAAAGTAAGGGCGTTATTTATTGTTTCAGTTACATCGCTGGATACTGTAAAAGCTCTCTTCGTACGATCGTTTCCCCGTCAACTTTCAATGGAATACTTGGATGCCATGAATGTAAAGATTTATATCCACGACGGATCCAAGGACATGTTTTACGAGCTGGTATGTGTGAGCCTTCTTTAATGCGTATCGGATTTTTGTCCCTATAAAATTTAGCGTGATTTTTTACTATTTATTTTTAGGAAGACCTCAGGTAAGTTCCAGTCAATCTCTTTTATTAAGCTGTCCGATGTTAAGTAACAGGGAAAAGAGTATAAAATTATACAATTTTGTTGACAGGGACGTTCGGGATAGATCTGTAATGCGTTTGGTTAATGGGAAAGGTGAACTTAAGCTACTTTTACATATGTTTGTCATGCTTACTCAGATATAAAGTAGGCCACCAAAAATACTAAGCTGTCACCCTGAGGGTTAATTTTCAATATCATAATTTTTAATTTACCAGATACCTGGGATCAAGACCAGTCCTACTTTTCTGAGCCGGAATTCGAATCAGAATATCAACATCAGCACATTCATAAAACTAAGGTACCTTATTTAGTTTTGTGCCTGATTTTGTTCCATATGCATTTTTCTACAGTTGTTGCATGTAATAAACGGACGAGTATATACATATATACGTTCATGTGGCACGTTAATGGAATTTTTACAGGGGAGCAAAGCACCTCCGTATATGACCTATAGTTACCCTATTGGTGCTACCAATTCGTTACCTCGAGTAAATCGACCGTTCTCGCCTGCGCCCGTAGCCATGAAATCCACTGGTAAGTAGGTCCAGGGCTTGATAATTTCCTACTAAAACCAATAAATTTAGATAGTTTTCTGTCTCTTGCTAACGGCGGAATAACGAATGACAACGACAATTGCAGTTCTAGCAGATTCGGCGCTTTACTCTCCTCGGACAACCGGAACAACCCAGGGCACAGCGTTTCCTATGCCACCATCCGGATACATCACACCAGATCTGAGGCGTAATATTTATTCCAGTGGAGGTAAATATATGTGCATACTTTTACTATCCATGTATAGAGTAGAGTGTGTATCTGCTAAGGCGTCTCGTGACAATAATTATTTTCATTTTCATTGGTAGCAGAGCCAACCTATGTTTCATCTCCGGAACGAAGATGCGTGGAAGATCCGTACTATTCCCAATTTCCTCAAACGAGATCGGGATCGATAACTCCAGTCATAATTGATGATGAGGCTCGTTTTCGTATGGAACATATGGAACGTCAACTTGCCAGTAAGAACCCAAACAGTTTATTTGACTTATTCTCTCATTAGTTTGAACAAGTCTAAAACAACTGTTTTTTTGTCTAAATTACTGCTTTAGACTTAACTGGACTAGTGCAAAAGGCTTTGGTCCATCCTCCAGTTCCTACCCCACCCACAAGACTCGTGCACTCTTCACCCTTGCCAAGAACCATACCTGGTGCTATCATCACTCCTCCCACACAGAATACTTACCGGGATTACATACCCACTCGAGACTACCGAGGTATGTATTGCGTTGTCTCTAACGGCAGACACAAAGCAGCAAAGATTTAGAGTCGGGAGCATCCTTTTTGCTCGCATCTAATAGTTGTTGGCTACTACTAAATCCATCACACAACGGCCTTCGTAGGGCTTAAATTAATGCTTGGTTACTTTTTGTGCAGACGATATCGATAAGCACTCTAGTTCAAGCTCTTCTTTACCAGGTAAATATGCCGGCTTTTGTGCTCTGTTTGGTGATTTTATACTCCTTCTGTCTCGACTGTCTCTCTTTTCTCTTTCCCTTTTGTGTGTCAATAAGGAGAATTGTTACCACAAGTCTCAGTCTTGAACAAATATTGAATTTGACCCAACACCATTTAAAATGTGGAATTAGTTGTGATCCATTGTGTAAAATGTGTACTGTTCCTTGCTCCAGATGACCCTGTTCGACCTATTGCAGAAAATCATATTCCTTCCAATGCCACCACTCATACAAAAGCTCCCAAGTTTGGCAAAGGTAGGTGCGCTTTTGGTTGTTTGTTAGTAAGTAGTAGTACGTATAACCGAGTGTAAAAACGCTGGCTATTTTTCTATATAATAGCAGACACATTTTCCAGATTAGTTGTTAATGCTACCGCGACTTATTCTTAGTATATGGCCGAGAAACCTTATTATTGCATGCATAAGAATATCTCGCCGCGTATGCTTTGAGTTGTGTCATCTTCACGTCTCTGTTTTTTATGTGCGCAGAAAAATCCGTGTCGTTTAGCGAAAAGTGAGTCAATGACACTAAAATTTAATGTTAACAGCACGAATTTCATTTACATAAAGTGTTTTGGCTGGTTGGTGAGATTTCCTAAAGGTGATGATACCCCTTGCTTGAACTTCCACAAATTGTATAACGCAACTGCCCTTTCCTTCTTCAACTTGGTCCTCTCCTTCTTCACTACTTCGAGCTCTTCTGACAATTTGGCGACGAGTTTGAGAGAGACGTCCTTCTCCTTCTTCACTACTTCGAGCTCTTCTGACAATTTGGCGACGAGTTTGAGAGAGACGTCCTTCTCCTTCTTCACTACTTCGAGCTCTTCTGACAATTTGGCGACGAGTTTGAGAGAGACGTCCTTCTCCTTCTTCACTACTTCGAGCTCTTCTGACAATTTGGCGACGAGTTTGAGAGAGACGTCCTTCTCCTTCTTCACTACTTCGAGCTCTTCTGACAATTTGGCGACGAGTTTGGGAGATTCGTCATCTCCGTTTGCGCTGTTGGTGGAACCAAGCAATAACTTTTTAGGTTTAAACGAGAGAGAGCCCTGGACTGTTTGACTTGTACGTTTTAGGGAGACTGAATTTGGTGTAGGGGTCGAAGTGGATGTGTAAGTAGAAGTAGACGGTTTCGGTCCAGAGGACACTGATCTGTAAGTGCAAATTACATATGTATTTGTAAATGCGATGATTTACTACAAGTAGTAATAGAATACCTGTGATGCATAAGAGTCTTGAGGGGGACATTCGAAGGAGAATAGCCACGGATTGCCTTGCATGTTTTTTTGTGCCGGTTCATGTTGGATTTAATACCGAAACTTTTATCACATTTGAAACATTTAAACGGCTTGTCTCCTGTATGGACGGTCATGTGCCTGCAAAATAACGAGTCATTAAATGTGGGGTAAAAATTTAAATAGGAGGAGGGATAAATAAATTACTGTTTCACTGCAACGGTTGACTTTGAACTAAAGTGACACCCTTTGACGTGACATCTAAACTTTCCAAGAGGGGCGCGACGTTTTGCCTTTGGTACAATTTTTACAACTAATTTCTCCTCCTCTTCGTCATTCACTTCCTCAATTAAACCAGCAGTATGTTCACTATAATTACAAATTAAATACAATCATTCAGTCCATACAAAATAAGATGTATAAATTTAAATTTATTTGGTGACATACTCAATTATTTTATCTAGGTCTACCCGAATTTTTCTAAAAGTGTACTCCGTAGCTTTACTTTTGAAACTCCCAGGGAGTCCATTTTGCCTTCTTCGATATTGCTTTAACTGATTAGCTTCTTGCAGGGAGTATGTAAAAATTGGGAGCTTAACAAAATCAGTGTTCACGGCAGTAAAACTTGGATCAATTGAATCCCTAAAAAAATTAATGTTAAGTATTGATTATGAAATAGATGTATATTAATAGATTTGTATTACGAATGCAAATACTTACAATACGGAGCATTTTCCGATATATGCATTGTGTATCGCGGCTCCTGTGGCGACGAGTGGGTCAACAAGACTTGACGTTCCTAGTGTCATTTCCCGTATCCTTTTGTGGGGGTCACGCCACAGAAGGGCGATGACAGAATGCAGTACATACTCGTTAGCTAGAAATCAAGCACAAAAAAACAAACTGATTGCATTTTCCTTTATCATTGACTATCATAAATAAATAATATTTAGCCACTCACCTGGAGTCGCCAATAACTGTTTTTTAGTTACCCTCACAGCAACGTATTTTCCGTTTTTTTCTTTTATAAACTTGAAGATGTAGTCGGTCTCACGAACATCTGTGCTTGTGAAGTGACGCCCTGCGCGTCCTGCTCTTGTACATATCTCCTTGTACAACCGGTCCCGTAAGTCTCTCACCTTCAAAACATCTTGCACTTCCACGAAAACACTCTTTTTTACTGCAAGAAACATTAAAATAATAGAAATTGTTATATAGATATGAGCATAAATGTAAAAATATGATAAGACTTATGCTTTGATTACCTGATTTGACGTATTCAGCAATTTCTGCTTCCCCTAACTCTACCCGTCCCCCCTCCACCACCTTCCCGTTGACCAGAGTGAATATTGCAAACATTGCAATCAGAGTGACAAGAAATAATAGAACTGAAAAGTTAAAAATGTGAAATGAGCAAGAAATATGTACAAAAATATAGGTTATTTCCTTACATACTAGTAACTTACCCAGTTAAATATATTACTTGACTTGATTAAGTAGTTTAACCATTTTCCACCGGTGAATAAATAATTAATTTGGGACCGAACCAGCTTTAGTCGATTTCTCACCAAATCGGTCTTGTTTTGCTTTTAATAAACGCGCGTCAAAAAATCTCAGTACTTCTCGTTAATCATTAAATTTGTCTTGTCTAGTGTCGTCTCGTACCGTGTCGTTTGATTTGTCGTTTAGCGAAGATCCTCCCGAACATGGGAAACAACACTCGCCTTCTCAATACTCAGGTTATTACATACTCATGAAGTTTCACACATATAACGAAATATTATCCTTCACGTATTCACATACCTATTTGTACCACTAATAATAACTGTCTCACATTCGTCACCTTTACTCAATTAACTTTCTTTCCTGTCTTTGGGGGCTTGTCTTTCTCACTCCTGCAGCCGAGAAGCCAACAAAGCCAGCAATCAAATCAACTACGTTGCCCCGAATGTCCCAGGGTATTCATCATTATTCCTATACTTGCATATTCAAAACGACTACAACCATAAACGAGCCTGCTTATGCTGCATGCATTTCTACGTTTGGATGTCTAAGAGGAATCAATTTGCAATGATTTATTACTATAGATCGAGTTCTTAAGCCTGTTCCTGCGACGGCGGCTACAGGTGTGCCAAAACAAATTGTTCTTCCTGCTCAACCAGCACTGGTTAATATCCCTTCGCATCACGATAATAGACAATACTATTCTGGTCCAAGAGGTATGCACACACATGCGACCCATGTGTATTTATTGATGATAAAATACTTCTAAACGTAGCAATGCAAGAAATTATGGTGGTGTATTTTCCTACAGGCGAACTTTGTCTCAACCCAGAAATGTTTAATCAGTTAAGAAATTTGCAAAAGAAGGCGAGGGAATTGAAGAGTGAGGTACATGGAAAAATCTTCCATTAATTTCATTAAATATGTAAAATAAAATAAACATATAGAATATTATTCGTGGTAGATTCGCGTTCTTCGACGAAATGTGCAAGTCCAGGCTCATTCCGTAAGAGAGACAATCAAGGACACATTTTTAAAATTTAAGTAAGTGCACAATTTTATGTGGTAGTAAATTACACCCCCGTTTGAAAACCACAAAACTAATAATGTATGGGCTTTCTCTAGAGTTGCTGCAATGGCCGGCAATGACCAATGGATGCAAGGTGATCCAGAGAAAGCACGAATACACAGGTGCGTTGATCTCAATTTTTAAATTCTGAAACGAAGAGACGTCACGATACTGTAAGTCTTTAAACATTAAAACTTTGCAACTACATGTTTTGTTTTGTTTAAGGGGAATACACAAGGAAAAGGAATACTACAAACAAGAGATGCTAAAGTTGGACAATGATTTAGAGTATGTTTTTCAGAGCTATTTTTGCCATCTTTCATACATTCACACACACGTCGAAACGTTGTAATTGATGATTGAACAGGGAGCTGGAAACGACAGTGGAGATTCTACGGGGTCATGTTATTACGAAACGGTTAGTTTATTCACCGTGTACGCTTCGTGTTGATAAAGAATGAAGAAATGTTGCATTTGTTTGGTTTGTATTTGTTTCTGATTGAGTTTGTTTGGTTTCGGTGTTTCCCAGAACCCGTGTGAATATGTCAGATGTCGAGAATATGGCATTAGTTCTCAGCAAGGCAAGGTAAGTTCAGCTATCAGCAGTAATGCTTGTTGCAATCTATATTGCAAATACACGTATTCATGCCCATAAAATTATTTGTGAATATCCTCCATAGTAAATCGGTGGCAGACCTGAAAACCCGTTTTCCATCCCTGCAAGAAAGCGTAAAAACCTTGCTAACAAACGAGATGGACGCAATGATGGTCGAAGAAAGATTCCTGAAAGAAGAACCTGAGAGACTGGAAGTTGCATTGAGGCGATGTAAGAAATTAACTGGGACGCTCGTCACGCTGAAGAGGTAGAAATAGCATGCGTATAAACATAATTGAAATGAATACCTGTTTGTTTAAAATTTTGGCTAGAGTATTGCAAAAATCTCGTAAAATATACCCTTATTTTTCAGACTGGCATCTGTACAAGAACAAAGACTGCCCTCGCAGGATGGGGAAAGCAGTCCAGGCACGAGCCCGCCTGGGGGAGGAACTCCAAATTCTAGTAAAATGAACAACAGGGTAAGCAAAAAGGGGTTGGGGTCGGTATGTCGAATAAAGTGAGAATAAAGTTTTTAGTGAACATCATCACTGTAGACCAAAGTATATTTGATAGTAACCTTATTTTCTCAGTTATTAATTATTCTGCATGGTAAAACTTATTATTGTGTTCATGAACGAACTATGGAACACGTGTGTATAGTAACGAAACGATAGCTGAGAGACTGAAGCTTACGGTAGTGCTTTTATTTTATATAGTATCTCAAACAAGGCTGGAAATGGAGCTCGCACTTCAAGAAAGTAATTTCAGACTCAGAGTACGTTGATCAACTAATGCTGTTTTTTGTAGTACGTATATTAAATATGCATGTCAGGCTGTCCCGTCGTCGTGTCATTCATTCCTTCATTCGTTCGATCATTTACAGGAGTTTTCGTTCACTTATTTGCCTGTTTGCGCATATTTTGTGTTACTGCTCTCTAAATATTCTTAATATCATATTGCTGATTATTAATATTAATGCTGCTGTCGTAGTAGTGTCGTGTGGATTGAGCTAGCGGTGATTGTTCCATTTATTATTATTATTATCGTCATTATTTATTATATTAATGTTAATTTAAATTTTTAAAATACTACCGCGTAACCTTCTGAAACATCATCTTCCATGTTCCAACTATTTGTGTAGGGGGCCACCACCGGTTCAGTCCCCGGCTACGGATTCCTTAATGCGTCGGGGAACGTCATGGGACCCGGAATCAACTATGCCACGGGAACAGCCGTTGGTCCAGAAAATGCACTCGGTAGGCTTTTTTCTCCATTAATTCTCTTTGTCCCATCTACTAACACAGCAGCATTGTTTACATACGTGCATATACATTTGCTGTGGGGCATTTCATTAGGATTTAACTTTGAGATGTACTTACATGTAGTGAATAAATGTAATCAGCTTATGCTAATTAATACAATATGTCTGCTCCAACAGATGATTTACTAAACGAGCTAGACGGAGCTCATCAGATAGGAACTTATAAGCAACATAGGCTAGAACCACCCAAGCGTTTACCATCGTACCCATCGACCGAGTCTGGGTCACCGGTCCGGTCTCCTCTGCGTCCTCCTCTGCTGCCCAAACCTGCCAGAATTCCGCCACCCCCACCACCAAGAACGAGCTCCAAGTCCCCCCTCATCTCACCCAGCATCGAGTCCAGTGGAGGGGACTCGAGTGAAAGTATCAACAGCCAAGACGCCGGCTCCAACAAGCTCAGCCAGCGTCACCAAGAACTTTTGAGGAAGCAGCAGCAGTTGCAGGCGCAGTACAATCGGCTCCAAGTTTTGCAACAACGGTCCGTCTCCTCCACGGGCTCCAACTCTCCCGCGGAAAACAACAAGCTCGAGCTGAAGAAAACCGGAAGTGAAAGTAATCTGCGTGCCAAATTGGGGCTCGAATTCTCAGCAGCACCCACCGGCTCCCTCAGCAATATTAATAAGTCGGTGTTGTACGAAACGGACATTTTATGAATGTTTACCTCTCTTGCTCAAACTTTTCCATCATTTTTTCTATGTTCTTCTACTACTACTAACCCAGTTATTGGTACTATCTAACTACATACAAACTAATTCTAAAATTAATTCTAAATAAAAAAAGAAACATTTTACACATAGACAAAATAACAATTAGTTTCTGGTGGCATCGTATTTATTAGGCATGTGATATCTGCAATTCTAACACTCAGTTTAACCTGCAATACCACTAATATCATTCTACAAAAATGTGCAACAACGTACTCGATAGAAGGACGAGGGGGGAGTATCAGAAATCAGTTTTATTATTACCGTTATCATTATGATTATGGTGCTGAACATTTTGCAGGAAGTATAAATTCTTTTTTAGTTCGGCTGCAGAAAACTTGAGAACTTTTCGCCAAGGAAGAAGTTGTCGGCCGATGATGTCCCACAACAGCACGTCTAAAAGCATAAACATCAAACAATTTTACATCACAAATCCCAAAACAACTTTGTTTTCAAACTAACTTTTTCCTGAGATATTTTGGAACAGTTGGTCTAACCAGTCGTGGTATTTTCCCATTTCTGTCATATGCCGACTCGACACAAACTTCTACAAACAAATACAAATTATTATTATACAAGCATTCCAATATCAATTTAAGTAGTTCAAAACCTACCTAAGTTGTGCATTTGCATATCTGCCGCAGCTCCTAAAAGTTTCATCCTTGTCTTGTAGACCACCCTGGGTAATACCTGTGAAGAGGCAAATTGATACTCTCTATTAGTCGAGTTCGTCATCGCTTTGTACATTCGTGTTCGTGATTGACACCATTTACTTGCGTCGGAGTTGAGAAACAAACTTACCACAAGTTTTTGATCTGAAGTGAAAACAACTTTTCTGCAGCTGTGTACGTAATGAAAAATTAAAATAGGCATGCAATACTTAAGATATGGGTGGAACAGGTTGGGCTTAACGCGATTGAATGGAAGTTAATGTATAGTTAAATGTTTGCGAGCGAAATTGAGTGTTCTAATGGATAACCACTTCAAAACACCACCGACTTTCTCTTCCACACATTTCTCGACCACTCATTTATGTACCTCTGATTTACTGCCCGTCTTAAGACTAGTACCTCTCAATCACATTCAGCCCAGATGTCACCATCTGAACTTACCTTGTTCCAACACGTGGAACATTCTGTAAGATGCATTAAAATTGTCAAAGCAGGCGACCTGAACGATATCCACAATATCCCAAGCCACGTCTGGCACATAATGAAACGAGGAATTGGCTCGATCGCTCCCAACCGTTATTGGTCTATAATTACAACCTTCGTCTGATGTGCCGTTGCAATATCCTGTGGCCTGCGAAACAATGTAAAATTGCATTGCATAATATTTTCATAAAACAGCATGTATTTTATGTATACCTTTCCTCCACTACAATCCTGGTCTATTGTGAAAGAACTATTTTTATAATCGGTTGGAGGTTCCGTTCTCCTGGAGGTCAACTCAATCTTTTCAACTGCAGCGACGCATGTAGTTAAAATGTTTTTGATCCATTCGTACTCTTCTTGACTCAAAATTTCCTCATATTGATACACATTTCCCTTGTGGAGAATATAAAATAGATTGATGGCTAAATCGAGCCACTCTGTGCTCACATATTCATCTGGGCAAAATCGTTGCGTGATATTTTTCATCATGTGAAACAATTCAAATGTTTTTGCAGGAGCTCCGTAGGGCGGAACAGGATCCGAGTTTTTAATCGGCGATTCCTCAATTTGACTAATTATATTATAGATTAGCATTTTTCGGTTCAGATATTTGTTATCATGTTTCCGATAGTCGGCTGGATTCGTCAGGTTGTCCTTCTTGGCGGCAGTGGGGGCGGCTTGTTTGGCAGGACTAGGTTTGCTTTTAGAGAAGGCACGCCCAGACATTTTTGGCGTACAGGTCAACTCGCATTCCGCTAAAATACGGGGAAAATTAATTCATTTGTAATCATTCATTTTTCGTTCATACTAACTTTGTTTAGAGCATAAATATTTCTGCAACCCTTACAATCCTTCTTTTCCAATACACCAAAGCAGGAGCTTTGCTTGAGTGGAGTTCCAGTGCAATCTTTTTTTTACCTCAATGTGTACTTCAGATTGTTTCCAGGTGGTTGGATTATCCTTTTTGAAAATTTTGCAGATTTTCTCTTTTTCAGGAAGTACGGCAGGTTTCACGCAAATGCTTCCACGCCTTTCGACTCCCAAAATGCTTTGCCATTAAGTACATATAAATGGTTCCCCTTTGTGGTCGTTCCTCGTGAGTTCTCTGTAATGAAGTCCCACGTGTCCGTTCCAAAATTTTTCTTGTCACAGACAACACCCTAAATTCAAGAAAAGTCGCACAGAGTTACAACATCTTCAGCCTTTATCCTTACGCATTCAACTGACAAAGAATTTATATTACAGTTTGTGACCAGCTAACTGGGTCTTTGGTTAGCTTCAATCCCACGATATTTGTACCAGTTAGAGGGTCGTGAAGCTTTGTGCATACTTCCTCGGCAAATCCATCCGCTGTCTCGCAACTATCTGTCCACAAACGGTAGCTGCACAAGGAACGTGTTAATTATTTAATGTTTTCATCCACCAGCTCTTCCCTCTTATAGATTAAACCATAGCTTACATTCCTTTGATGCACATGCAATCTGGTTTTTTCTCACCAAACGTGAACCCTGAACTACACTGATCCCTAGATCTCTGAATTTTTGAATCTGCATCACAAAAAGTAACTTCTGCAGATCGAACAAATTTAAGGTAGGAAAATAATAATAAGACATTGAAATTCCTAAACCATATTAACGACATATTACTATGAGCTCAATATTACGATGACTTATAGGATTTTCTGAGCATGAGTAAAAACTGTTGAAAAGTTACCTCGCTTTGATATATACTACTTGATCCAAATAAAGTACTGGCTCATGGCTAAATTGAAATGTTATGCAATGAATGAAAGTGAAATTTCAATTGTAATTTCTTTTTTTTGGCTAACATTTCACAACAACAATATTGTGTGTGTAAGATTGTGTCGCAATGCGTTCATTTTGAAGGTTCTGGAAAATGGTGAAAATAAATAATGCCAAGTTTCAATATTCAGGTATTTTGATTTTTTTTGCATATATTTCATGTCATAATTTAAAGTATTTATAAAAACCGGATGAATAAAAGCATTCGTGTAAAAACAGTTTGTAACATTATTATGGAATTAAAAATAATAAACCCCATAAAAATGGAAACGTTTCATAATGATTGATGTTTCGCATCCACATTTAAATAAAATATATAATGAATAAAATACACAGATAAATATTCCTGTAAATAACATTCAATTTGCGCGTATTATACATCTTATTTACGAAAAACAGCAGAATACTTGATAAAATTGCGATATTGCGGGCGACAGAAATTCAGTCAATCATTTACAACTTAATAATAATGCTTTGGCTACTCAACTGTTCTTGTGGCTTCCTTCGTAAATTACGAATCAAATTACAAAATGCTCACAATTTCACTTTGAAACTATTTAAAACAAATATTTATATGGCATACGAGAATAGTACTGGTACTAAAAATACAATAGTCGGAATATGGTTTACGTTAGTTGCATTGTTTCGTTTTAAAATTAAACGTAAAATTATAACTAAATCGATCACAGTTAAAAACGCTGAGTGACAACGGTTTTCCAGTCTTTCGTTTTCGTCGCTAATTTGCACTGGACACTGCCAACTTTTTCACCAGTCTGGCTCTCTTAAGGCCATCTTAAGGCTCGGGATATGATTACTGCTCCCACTGCTTTCGTTAGACCCACGCCTGCTAAATAAAAACAATCAATTAGTCATAAACTATAATTATTATGCATTATTTAATTATGACAGACTTTAAAAATGAGAAACCGCAGAAAAACCCTTTAATTTCTCACCTGTCTTCCATCTCGTGACCATCCGGCCCAGGTCGTTTTTGCTGTCGAATGTCAAATCCCGTTGAACTGAATCCACTGGAGGCGGATCTACTCTTGTCTGAATTATTCGAATCACGACGATTATTGGCAGAAGGAGGCGAGTTCTGTAAATCCTCCTCAGCGTCACTGTTCTTCCTTTCCAGTGAAGCTCTCGGAAGCAGCCCAATTGTTTGCTTGTTCTGTTTGTAAGTTATGCGACTTAAGGGTAAATGCGAGGAGTCTATTTGAATCTTCTGTCCTGACAATTGCGGACTTATGGCGATATGAGGATTATTTAAAACTTCGTGTCTCGAATGAGTTCTACTAAGCAGGCCTAGCCCAAAACTGGAGATGGACGAAGCAGAGTCTGTCCGTTTGATATCCACGGGCCTCGTTTGAGTCTGTATTCGTGTGGATATGAAATTAGTATGTAACTTGGACATAGAGGAACACCATCATTTTTGAGGTCATGTCTCAGGCTCAGGATGAGTATTGGAGTTAGTCTGGTTAGGATAAGAATTAATAAAATGCAAAGTCAGCGTTAAGCAGAGCTTGATATTGGTAAAATTAGTATAAGAAATGTTGTTATACGAAATTAGCAGTAATTTTTAAGATATTGTCGTGTAATTAAGGCTAAAGAGCAATTCAGTACAAAAAGTGATAAAAATATTATTATTAGACTTTGCCTGAAACTTTTGAGGTTCTTTGTGGTGGTCAACTCCAATTCCAGAGGAACTTGTACTTCCTGAGCCTGCAGAGTCATTGGACTCGCTTCGTCTTAATCTCATGGGGTCGACCTAAAATGCAATAAAGAATGACCGAGAAATGAGCACTTGTTTCATTGACTTTATTGGATGATTCTTTACTTGAAATGTTTCTGTGAGCCGACTCTGTCTTCGGAAACTGACGGATTTTGGCGATTTTGTTGGCGTAGGTGCGGCCAACCTGACCAAGGCACTGAAAAAATAGTTAAAAACTGATTCTGACTCAATCATAGATTAAAAATTGAACATTTATTTATATTTCACTTTATCTATCCCTCTTTCCAGGCTCAAACCAGGTTTTGTCCTGTTCACCACAAACAGAAATGCAACTCGCGTAGAGTGGGAAGCAAACAGACATCCTTGCTTATTGCTACCAGCATAATTATTCAGAGCACCTGACCACTTAGACATTTTTTGTGACGAAACTCCCGAATTTACTTTGGTGCTCATAAAAAATAATAAAAATTCTTCCCCTATTGTGATACGTCATCCCTCGTTCTCAACTATGCTGCCGTATAAGGTGACCTCCAACAGGAAGATAAATCCTCCAAGGGCCGTGAAAGAAAAAGTTGGTTCTGCGATACGGAAAATTCTCACTGAATTAAGTGAGAAGGAGGAGGAAGAAGATGAATTAACGTCATCAGATGACGAGCCCCCACTAAAGCAGCCGCGACTAAGTCGACAAAGAACACGAGGCCAAGATATGGACGAGAACGGGGAGAAGAACGTGCGGGCTCGAAGGACGACGTCAGTCCCACGTCGTTCTCCAAAGATAGTGCCAAAAAAAGGTCGAGCATCAGTAAAAAGTCGGGCGCATTATAGTGAGGGAGACAAGAAGATTCTGGAGGTTGCGTTCGCCACCAACTCTAATCCAACTCTGCAAAAACGGAACGAGATCGCCCGTCTCCTAAACAAAAGTCCAACTCAAATCAAAGTAAGTTTATTAATATTACTTAAACTAATGAATGCGTAATTTAGTGATTTGTTCCTGTATTATAGAACTGGTTTACACAGACAAGGAACACTGTTCGTCGTGGAAGGGTTATGTTTTCTCCAGAACAAGTGACGTTTTTGGAGAATGCGTTTCAAGAGAATACGGATCCATCCGATGTTGTGAGGACTCGTCTCGTTGAGGAAACGGGGTTGACGCGAAAACAGATAAATGTAAGTTATTTATTCTACCATTTAAAACTAATAATTTTTAATAATAATAAATTCTATTTCCAGAGATGGTTCTGGGATCGAAATCGCCGAAATGCTTCACAACTCCTTTTCGTTCCTCCTCCAACACAAACGTCAAGGAATGAGCGTCCAAGATTTTTTTGGCTGAAGGAAAAAGGCAAGAAGATGACGATGAAGTGGCGAAGTGTGAAGGACGGTGAAAGTACATGTGAGTAATTTTACAGTCTAACTTTTCACAGTAAAACATGCATGTCTCACATTCGCATAATATTAATTGTAGTTGGATATTGGAAACTCTACCTCAGTTTGTGGGAAACTCCCACCGGAATTTTGATGGGAACGTCAGTCTGTTTCACCCAAAAGGATGATGTGAATGAAGCCGCCCAACAAATTTATGACACGATTATGACAGACGATGACGATGGTTGTAGTTTCCGGTTTGTCCTATTATTTTATAGCTATCATTCATATTTATAAATTTGTTGCTTATCATTTGTTTATGCATGTAGATTGTTTGTTAAGAAACACAATCTCAGCCCTCGTACTAATGGATCAATACCACTCGGAATTTTCGCAAAATCGGAACTTGCTGCCAAGAAGATCAAGTGGTACTTGAAACTTCTAATTAAAGCGTTGGGAACTATACACCCAGAAGAGTGTGTCCGGCTCCTCCACGACAAGGGAGAATATCTCAATGATGTCGTCCGAGAATGTATGGACATCTTAGATCCTAAAACCAGACGGTGGTTGGAATTCTCTGCCGAAGCAATGGACCTCCACATTGTGGACGCCACATTCCCTGGAGTTGACGAAGATCTCAAGTTTCGATTTGAATTCAAGGACAGGTATGGGTTTGAACCAGAAGACGGAAGTTCCAAAAGCATTGCATTTTTAGGTATGAACTTGCCAATTAAACTAATAATTTGCATGATTGTGGTATAACACTATTACAAATGGTACGAATTGTTAATTCCAGATATTATTTCGCATTCTTTGGACATCTCGGATGATGATGTCGTGGAAGAAGATGATGATGAGTCTGCAGAAAACGAGTAGGAGTACTTGGACTGAGTATTATTATATTCAAGTATTTTTAAGTTTGATCATTTCAGTTAGTGATTTGTATCGAAAGATTGATTGATTTAGTTAGAAATAAATGGACTTTGAACTAAATAAATACTCACCGGTCTACCAAGGCCGGATTTTTTGCAAAAGCATTGTGTAGCGCAGGTCTAAGAGGAGTTCCGTCTGGGCGGTTCATCATGTGATGAGGATACCTTCAAGTTCAAAGTCCCTCGCAATTAGAATTTAACGATACGTGGAGGCTCAATAATTCACAGCATCTTACCTCCAGGGTGATTTGGGAGGGTCCATTTCGAAACCTGAGTTGAGCACACCATGCGGTAGTCTTAAGTCATCTGATTTATCCCCTCGCATTGAAAGCGTTCTATGTACAATGTAGAATAAAGTATTTATAAAAAATTATAAATTTAAATTTGTAAATGGTATGCATGCATAAAAAGACAATTCCAAATTTATTTTAAAGGTTTGCTACCTCAGAATTTTTCTGCCTAGTCCCATTGGCTCGGGATCCTCCAAGGAACGCTTACCACTTCCTCTTTTATTTCTTTTTGTGTAATGACTTTCTTCAATGATTATGTGCCGATCGAATGGCGTTCCGTAATCCACTATTTATTCATAGCATAAAAATACATTATGAAGATCCGTCTCATAACAATTTAAGGAATGCTATAGGAATACCTTCCAATATTGTTGAAAACTTGTGCGGATACATTAAATCCACTATAGAAATAACTGCACCAAAAGCAACACATAGAATACCTGAAAAATAACATCAATAGCGTAAAGATTTTTGAAATGGTTGTAAGAAGCATATTTTTTTTAATTTTGACTTGATCTGTACACACATCAACTATATGACCTTGATGTCAGCTATTTAGGCTAAGCAGACTTACAATATGAATGACAACACTGTAGACTACTCTTCCTGGTGAGATAAGCCAAACAATAGCTTAAAAGCTGAATGATTCATTTGTACCAATGCTGGACTAATATCAGGTGTAACAATTCACACTAGACATGCATATTTTGGGTTACTAAGAAATGCACATCTCACTTTAGGTTGCAGTCATCAAATCCCAAATTAGAAATTATGTCATCCATAATAAATGGAACTGGATTATGTAAATGTTAGAAATCCTTACCAGCAGAAAAGCAGAGCCAGTAACACCATCCAAATTTGAACATGAGGAAATTATCTTCAAATCTAATCATGAGTCTCGTGCTGGGGATGAGAAGATAGTAGAGAACATTGGTCGTGATCATGAGACTTGAGAGGTGCATAACAAAAAGTAACAATTAGATTAGCATTAAGCCTCGAATGTAGTGAAATATGTATGGACATGTACATATCCATATCCCGAATATACATCTGAGATAAGTAATACGTAAACTATTTAGAAAAATTTAGTAGACTTACGCCCCTGTGACAATCATTTGGTAAGCACCATAGCGTGGGACGACGACGAGAAGGAGGTTCATGAGGCACCATGATGCAAACGATGCCCTGGACAAAAAACAAGAACCACATCCGTGATCAACACTTCAATAATGCATTAGTCATTCCGTTTTTTAGATTGCGTCATCAGGGAGGTTATTCCCAAATACTAAATCTTTTGTTAGCTAATGATGACAGATTAAAATGAGGTATTTAAATTCTCAGAATATAACGACTGACAGAAAGTCCTTCCACTCTAAAGAGGATTTACGGCAAAATCTTGTTAATTGAGCATACACTTCATTCTTAACAAAACCTGCAATGCAAGCTTGATATAGCCCGAGCCTTTTTCTATCCCTTGGCACTCATAACAAATAGATTAAAAAACTTTGATTAATTAATTTCCCGACATATCCAGCAGGCAAAATTACAACATGCAAAATTTTAGCAATTTTTCCCCATTTTGTGTGGGTTGTCATCTTGTTGAGCATGCGTATGACATAATTGGTGTAATAAAAAAAGTTCTGAAAAATAATTCATCATCAAAGTACACGTATGTATAATTTGCACATTTGTACAAAATTTCAAGTTGATCGGATAAGTTTTACGGGAGTTATCGCAATAAGTTTTCGCAGACGGACATGACGACTTCATAAAGCCTGAAAAATTTGCAATCTCATCACAAGCTCGTATGTTAGTTAATGATTGAGAATAAAAGGGCCAACCATAGATCTTTTAATATATATCGGGGCCAGCAGACATACAACATAGCGTTAAATTGTCATTGTCGTATTCATTGCATAGATGAATGTGAGTGCGAAGGTATCCTAAATTGGATGGCTGAAATAATAAGATTGCTCTGCTTGCCAAAATTTTGCGATTTTGTTTTTTGCAAGGAAAAATGTTCCCTGTCAGATCCATCATGCATAAAATTTGGAGGATTTTCCATTATTTTATAATACACATTCAACTGTAACTGATTGTACCAACTATATAATTCTTGCGCCAGCTATAGCAGAATGATTAAAGTTGGCAACAAAAGACTCGACTAACAAATAAAACACTAGGAGTTGCAAGAATAAAAATTGCAAGGTCTGGCAGCACCGATATCTTTTCTTGCTCTTGTCCGTGCAAGTGTGAACAATTGACAAATGATACATGAATAAATTACAGGGGTAACAAAAGCTGCAATTTTATGTATTTGGTTTGCGGCATGGCTTAAACATAATAATTATTATGCTCGAATGTAAAATGAGTTATTTTAGCCGGTGCATAATATGCATGCATAAACAATTTCAGCTTTCATGAAGTTAATCAATTTTCCAAAATTAGTCGTGAAAACCGTTATTTCAAACAGATTTAAGAGGCAGTAAAAAAATCACAAAATCAGTCTTAGAAAAAGTATTCATTACCATAGAAGGATGGATGCATAGTATCCAGCTTGGCGATATGACCTTCCCCAACAAAACCCTTCTTCATCCATGCTGAAGTACTCAACCACGGTGAGAATGGGATATGGCAACCCTTTGATCTGTAGAAACCAGTAATTCCAGTCAACGCACTACCAGACAATCTCCAGATCTAATTTACAAATTCTTACCAACGCTTCGCGAAATTCTTCCTGAATTTCCGTAGCAGACTCCCAATGGAATCTCTCATTGTAATCAATGTCCTCCAGCAGCCCAGTATTTACTAGCGAATCGTTCAAATTGAGGGAGGATAACACAGTGCCGGATAAATATATATCTGCAAGAATCATTTTTTCATCAATCCTGTAATATTCACTTGCATGCCGGTTCGATGTCCGCTGAAACAATTCCTCACCTTGAAGTGTTACGTTGAAATGCATTAAACCGATATGGACCCCAATATCTGCGGCGAGTTTCTCTCGTGAGAAAGCTCTATAATAGCTCATTATGGACTGTAAACAACGAGAAAATTGTAGTACGAAATCAGTGTTAAATGGTCAATTTCTTAAATACTTACCGTGTCAGCCACATGCCACGCTGAACCATACTTGCTCACTGTAAAAAAATCATATATTCAGCATATAATGTTTTCTAGTTTACTCTTTTCACACATACAAATCCCGAAAATCCATCAGTTTGCAAAATAAAAATAAAAATCATAACCCTGATCTCGGCAGATTGCGCAACTTCAAATGCAAAACATACTTGTCAATGAATACGACAAGCTGATGAAGCATATAATAAATAATGTGCGATTGGCCCTAAATTCTAAGTGCACCAGACCAACCATCCGATCTAGTGCTGCGATTGAAGCTCGATTAAGCGATGAATTACGTAACGTAAATTATTTTTCTGCACTTGCATTGGGCATACTTTAATAAGCAAGCTCTGTCAACCGAGTGACGACGATCTGTGCAACTCACTTCGCACTGACGCTGGCTCTGCTCTATAAATTCCTTATAGATTGAATTGAAATTGAAGTTTAAAAAGCGTGTTTAGCCCTTTGTGAACCATCCAGCCTTTGTTCTACAATTTCAGAAATGAGCTACATGCACGAGTCATTATTTCTCATCAGCCGTCGTGTTGTGCAATCTATTCGCATTATGCATAAGTAGCTTTGTGCATTTCGTTTTCATGGTGTGCATACAATGCAGTTTGTGCAGCAACAAGATTACTAAAAGACTTATTTGAAGTTGCTCGAGGAATTGGTAGTGTGGCAGCGTATTCGAATATAGGACCCAAGGCTGTTGCATACACGTGTATAATGGCATACTCGGCTCATTAAATATATATAATAAACAGTGAGAACTATGTAACTACACTAACTACACAATTTATAAGTATTTATATGCCTCATTTGGATAGAAATTACACGCATACGTACACATTTGCATTTTAACAGTGTTATTTTCTCTGATCCAGAGTCGTGTGTAACAGGAAACGGAAGGGAATCTATTATAGAAACTAATTGATGTCTGAAATCAATTGGGGAGCAACATGAATTCGTTATGGTCTTACTTTTAGTTATCCAGTCATGTTTACCTAACGTTTTTGACTAACAAAGCTTTAATATACATATGCATGTATGCAGTGACTAATACATAAGTAGTGAATCTTATAGTAGTTGGTCGCTGTTTAAGATCGAAGGTTAATGTAACGCCTGACCTTAAACTACCTTCGATTTAGGAAGTAATACACATCACATTGATCACATTCTAATCGCTAACAACGAGCTGTGTGTGGGAGCGAGGCAGGAAGTGCGGAAGTGCGATCATCATCACCACTACATATGCCAATTGTCTTTGAGATAAACTGGAGGCTAATGGGCTCGTCCATTGTTGATTAGTGGGATTATTAAATCATCCAATTACTAATGCAGACACATATCCCACTTCCGACAACATTATTCATTTTCTAATTTGCTTCAGTTTTGACGAACCGCACAAAATTTGACCTTCGCTGACCGCATCACATCAAAAATTACGTTTAAGCTCGCAATAATCGTAATTCGTGCAAGAACATTTAGATGATATTTATATTCAATGATTTTGAGATGATTTAAGGTGGTTAGCTAAATTAGTAGTAGTAATGTAATGTTGGGAAGATGTGCAATAACAGGTGTATACATACATACGTATATATGAATTCTTAATAATAATAAGAATAGATAATAAGTCGAATGGCCTTAAACTTTATTTACTCTTCAAATATTTAGTTGTTCAAATACGTTGCTGTGTGCATTTTCTGGCTAAGGATGAGTTGAATAATTAGTCATGTTTAGTGTCTGAGCAGTACATTGTGCAATATTTAAAAATGCAATGCCATAATTGGCAAATAATCGCAATTGATGCTGTCAAAATTGACAGATTGAAAAGGTTTATTTAAAGGATACCGAAAATTGTTTCTTTGTATTTTATGATCGCCAACCAATTCAGCCTAATACAGACTTATCTGTACTCGCTCGCGTCGAGCAGCATCCCTTTGAAAGATGGTCAACAGTCTCCCAACCAGATTCATACATATGCCTAATTGTGTCATTTAGAGGAGAATCCTTCCTTTTAAATTGAAGGTAGGACAAAGTATTATTGTGCAATTTGAATTTAACTCGAGTCAAGTTAAGACCCTGGGGATATATGTTTGGTTGCACAACTATTGTATTAAGGAGAAATAAGTCACCATTTAATTTTGCCAACAACTTTGAATAAGCTTGGTTGAATCCATTTGAAATATTCTGCAGCAGTTGGAACTAGTTGGACGACATGATAATGGAGAAAAGAAACAAAGACAAATTATTGCTCTCATGAATAGAGAACAAGATTTCCTTAGAAGCAATATACGTGCGTACATATGTACGTATGCATGTATGTATATGTATATGCACCACCTTGACACACTATTGTCCTCATCTGCTTTCCGTTCTTAAAAAAAGTTGCTTGGTGCATTCTCTGCGTAATGCAGAATCAATAATGTCAAACATTTGATCACACTCGAGACACCCTTTTACACCCTTCGTGTGTGGTTCCCTAGTCGTGTGTGCATATGTGCAATTAATTGTAATTTTAGTTGTTAATGAATGTTGCAATGAAACTATAAATAATTCAAAGCTCTTAAGTTTAATTATTTGCACACTAAATTAGTGCATTAAATACTTGCACATTAAATACGACCACGAGTTATGTATGTATCTAAAGTGTCTAATGAAAAACATTAAATGACAAAACATATAACCGTTCACTGTGCTCATCCGATACTAAAATAATCGCTATTTAGTGTTCGTACTAAATTACAGTTTATGTTGCATAAACGACAAAATGGGAGGTTCTCCTTGTCAACGCGTAATTCACCTTTTTCGCAATCATATTCTATGATAAAATAATGTGTTCATCAAACTCAACAAACCATTACAAAAGAAGAATCATATATTTTGGCGGATTTGTTTGTGGAAGGTGTGTTATTTTATAGTGCATTCTTTTTTTTTGCTGTGTGCGGCATTCGCTAGGTGAGATTAGCCAAGTAAAGAACCAGCAAGGTCTTAGTAATTTTGAAAATGTACAAACAGCTTAAAATTGCTCTTACAATGAGTCTGCTATAAAAATTAACTCTGTGTACGTACGTACATAACTATCATTCACTATTTCTGACCTGATGAATGAAACAGAGAAGTTCCTTGTCCGTTTACAGTGACTAAAAATATACCATTGTTAACATGCTATTGTTGGCCTGTAGTTTTTTTTAGTTGTGTCTGGTCGTATTGTAGGTGGAACAATGCTGCACGTACATATTTACTTTGTTCAGATGAATTTGGCGACACAGAGACAGTCCCAACCTGTTACGTGACATGAAAGAAAGTGAAGACAAAAAGTTTGGTAATCTTTGGAATACATGTGATAATGTAGGAAGAACCTTGAAGCTTAACGTGATCAGGTAAAATAGGTCATGGCCTAAATATTAGCAGAATGAAATCATCATCACCAATAAGAACCACTCTTCTCAAACGTAGAGCAGCATCTCCAATCATCACTTACTTCCTTATCCTCTGATTGTGTCGTTCACATTTGTAATGCATACATTGCCACACGTCGTTTACTATATGCCTACCACCATCATCATATTTAATAACACACCAAAGTAGCTCATCTGCAATTATCGCTTCAATTCGCGAAAATATTGAGTTGACAAATGTTTTTCACTAGATATTAACGCCAGCCCAACATTTGCGCAGATAAGATGCTTTTGCAAATTCAGCAATAATGAGAACTAATTAAATGGGACAATCTGCCAAATATAGTTCTAATAAGTTATGAAAATAATTTGTACGTAAGGACAAACAAATTGAGATGTGTAGCGTATTTGTATACCATAGATCAAGTAATTGCACACAAAATAAAAGTTTGGCGATGGTATTTTTCAATGTTTGAATAATCGAGAAATTCAATGTGCATAAGTCTTTGTTGTTTTTTATCTCGTTTCATTTCGTTGCGTTGCCCTTGCACTTGTGCAATACTGAAATTTCATCTTCATTCGTTAGCTTTGCCTCCTGTTAATGAGCGTATGATCCTCCTGTGCTACATAATCATACACATGTTATGCGCATCAATCTATAACTAGTCTTGAAAACGTATTGTCTTTCCTTGTCGATTTACATAGATTCTCGTTTATTGTGTGTAGATACATTTTTTTTAGCAAAACAAATATCTGGATTTCCCCATTTCCCCATAAAATCTTGGCAAAAGTTCAACTATCTATGTACTCCTCAAAATAAAATCAATAAAGTACTTATGGCTTGAGAGGGTATGTAATTGTTGGATGGAATTTTTAAGGAAGGAATCATGAGTGGTTTCTCAAATTTGGAATAAGATTTGCAATGAACATTATTTGCAGTTTGATATATACTTATTTTATGTTGAGTTTAGTGAACATATAGAGTTCATTCAAAATATGCTTGAAACAGGTATGTATGCTCCAAGCCTCAATTTTTCATGCTACATATTTAATTAAAATATGAATTTCAACCGAAGGTCTATGAGAGCTTTTAGTAGGGTGAAAATACTAGCGTATTAAATAGTGAAAAAATTCTATACTTACCAAGAATAGCCGATCCAACGAAAAGACTCAAGGTTGTGACGGTGAAGGTTGTGAATCTCTGTAAATTGCCCATAAAATATCAGTGAATCAAAGAACGCACAAGGTAACGCATATAAAAATAAGACATTCAAAGAAAAAAGTTGTCTCATGTCATTATAGTTTTCGTGAATATTTGTTCCGCGTGGCAAGTTTCACAAATTGTCGAGATAAAAAACGGCCGGAAACATGTTACTTATGTACGTGCTTGTGTACATCAATGTGTACGTACAGAAGTACTTGTGTATGTACGTAGCGTGCAAAGGCACAAAAAATCTCAACGTACCTCTTTCCGAACTCCAGGGAAGATGATGACGAAGGCGATGAATAGCGTGAAGAAAAGGACGTAGAGGCTGATGGTCGGAACATCGCCGGTCACTGGGGTCCGATTGCTGTAACTGTACAGCGTCGGTCCGCCGTCGTTGCGAAATGCGTCGAACCACCCACGCATCCTGGGGCAGCTTCCCACCACCAAAGTGTCCAACGACCGCCCTCACCTGAGAAATACCCAGATTTTCAACACTTTGTTTAAAAAACTACTGACCATGATTTGCGAATTTTTAGTTTTTATTTCTTTTTTGGAATAGTGCGATTACTTCGAGTACTGTAAAAAACAACTGAGCATCCTGTTTGTAGAAATTGCCAATACCCATCAATAATAATTCTGATTCATTGCTCGAATAAAGGGAGGGATTGCCAACTGTTATTGAAAATGCCTGCGCCTGAGTGAGTACTTATGTATAGCACGTTGATAAATTACCCTTAATAGCACGACATTATGGCACAACAAAATGCATCGTGTGGGAAAGACCACTTAAGGCTCACCTTAAAACATAATTCACAGAATTGACTGGTTGATTAATTAAATGCAAGTGTGCAAAATGGGGACGGTTTGCTGCTGCATCAAGCTACATAAACCTACCCCTTGATTCTGCATGGTTTTGCCTTCGTCTTCATGTAAGTATGTGGAGTGGAGGTTTGTTTACCAAATGTTAGGGAAAGTGAATTAGTTATGATGCAACACTTAAATGCGAATAATACGAAAAGCAACTGTTTCCACTCATTCAAAAATTCTCTTCATCTCAACCCAGGCATGGAAGGATGTTCGTTGGCTCGTTCTTCATCCCTGTCGTCGTTGTCTAACGGATTGTGCATAATTACAAAGCACACTCGGTACTTGAGTGACAAATGTTGTTGCATGATGTCTACGACTCGTGTGATGAGCAAGTACTTGAAAATTACGTATCATATTGACGATGTTTTACTTGGTTGGAAACATTTCATTGAAGGGAAGGAATAGGAGGACCTTGGTGGTCGGTGTGCCATGCCAAGAAATTGTTCTCACATGAATACCCTCTGAGTGTACATACGTACATAAGTCTCTATTGAAATCCACGAGAATCCTTATTATTCTCGTTAAAATATTAATACACGTGAGATGAGAGTGCTTTTATCCTTCAGATCTATTTGAAATGAAAATCCTGTGATAAATTCTCTATCTTTGTCTCACTAATATTTGTACATGTTATCCACTGCTGGTTTTTACGGTTGCATATGCACTACAGTTGATTTTCTAAAGGAGGTGTACGAAATCTCAAATCAATCAGGTGGCAATGGTTGTACAAATTAAGGTGTACATACGTACACCTTAATGTGTGACATGTGAATGTGGCACAATCTGTGTGACTCATTTTGCTTTACAATTTTGAGATTGTGTCCGAGTTTATTGTGACAAACTCTCTCATGAAAATACTCGCACGCACGTGGACAAAGTTCAGTTTACAAGAAAGGAACAATCCAACTGCATGCAATTATTTCTTTGTTTCATGACGCGTCCGAGTTTGTATGAAACATATGTAGTAACAATATCTTTAACACTTTCAGATACAAAATATTAGCCATACATCACTGGTTCTAATTTGTAAGGTGAAGCGTAATAAAGTTATAAAATGCCGGTTAACCAAGCAATTTGTTAGCATTATTCACACACCGGTTGAACACTTACGGATTATTTTTAATGGGGCACCGCACAAGTGGGAGACTAGCTCTTTAATTGAAAACTTGGACACATGCAATATTGCAAACACAATTCACAAGTTCACTCTCCAAAAACTTATTTCACAACGAAGCAACGTGTTGATGTGTTTCCTTTGGCGTTGCAGAAATATCCGGTGCTATTGCACAAAGTCTGATGAGGAACTGAGTATTGTGACGAGCGACTCGCTAAAGTCATTTGGTAATAGTGACCCTCAAAAACAGCCACCTCAAATTCTCTCATCAGCATGACCAAGGTCTCGCATACCTTATGCCTATAATCTTATGATTTTCTACCCATGCATTCACGCTGCATCAGCTACTTCTCTAAATCCATTCTGCCCAAGCAACAGGCAGCTCAGCAATAGCAACACATTTCGTATTCATAAAGGGATGCAGTACAATGCAAAGCAATGATCAGCTAGGTCTGGATTACTGGTGATGGTTCATCTGGATATTGAATCTCGTCTACTAATCGCATCGACAAAACTCAGTCAGCAACCCTTCCACAAAGAAGCAGACACGAAGTACCAGTTGCCCTTGAATCTCCTTCGAGATTCGATCCCGGGTCATCGGTCTTCCGAGATTCATTTCCTCACTCTTCCTTCCGTCCTTCCTTCCTCCTTTGGCAAAAACTGCCCTCAGGTACTGCCACTGCCAATTTGGTGATATTGATTCATTCATTCGCTGATATATGAATGCACAAATTTATTTTTACATTGGAAACCATTTCGCTTCCTCAGCTTTGAATGCATTCTGATTGTGCTATTTTATGCATACAAATTATCTGCTCTAGAATTATTCTGATTCCACATACCTACAGAATTTAAATAGTCATGCAGATATTCTAACCTAGCATTAACTACAAGTACGTAGTCATTAAAATTTTAAATACAAGTGGGTGCTCAGAGAGTAAATGAATTTGTTAGTGTAGGTTTAAGCAACCCTTCCAATGAAACATGGTTTATTTATAAAAATCTAATAGCGACTCATACGGCGAATGACGGGATACTTATTCGATCAATTTCTAATAATCATGATATAAATCAATTGTGAGCAGACATTCCGTAAGATTAGGGTACGTACACACCCATACGGAAATAGATCGAGTTTAGTAGTCTGGTAATTTATCATTATCGGTCGTGCCGTCGATAAACAACATTTGCCAATCAGTTTTACCATCTAACGAAGATGGCTTTATTTAGTTGGTTGAAAATAAATATGTACATAAGGTACATGTGTAAGTGACACAATGAGAGCGCTCACATCCAGTTTGACTCTGGGATGGGCAGGCAGGAAGTGATGAAGGTGCATTATTTCTTACGAGAGATTAAATACGTACGTGGTCATGGAATGCTATAGACTGGAATAAACTTATATAATTTGTACTCGGCCACACAGCTAATCATCCAATGATCAATTTCTCTACTTCTAGACCTCCATTCCATATTTATTTATTTATTGCTTAAATTATATGGTTTGAACAAATTGCGGCTTCCTAACCTTGTGCATTATATATTTGTAATATCCGCATAATAACCATACCCCGGAAAAATATTTTTTTATCCTACCCTACTCGTGTTGAGCTCAACATGAGTAGGGTAGGATAAAAAAATATTTTTCCGGGGTATGATAATAACATCATACATACTTTTATTTTATATTTTTATATTCTATTAAAAACGTTTTATTCGAAGGGTAGTTCGTAGTAAGTGGTAATATTTTAAGATTAGAAAAGTTATCTGTAGTGAATTCATCGCTTAAAACATGTTCTCAATGATTTATCCATCGGAAGTAGTTTTAGTTTTCTATATGATCAAACTCGGTTCATCAAAAATAAACCAGTGCAGCTAAGAAATCCATATATGCGTGTAGCCCAGTGACAATTAATCCAATCGAGACATAGAAAGTTGTATGTAAAGACTGAATTAATGAACCTGACAAGAAGTTTGAAGTAATTTATTCATTTGTATATTTTTGATATCCTCGAATCCTTGTTATCGTTGATTAAAAATGGAACTAAGTATAGTAATTAAACGATTGCATGTAAATGGACCTGCGATGACAATAGTGCAACACAATTTATTATCGCAGCAGCTTCAATTTCGACAAGTGATTGTCAGAATCAGTCATTCGTTGGAAAACTTTTATCTTCATAGATATTACTGTCAACTGTTATACATTAGGAATTGTACACTACTGTAGCTCAAGCAAACGTCGAGTTTTCTTTAGGGGACAAGTGATCCGATAAGGAATCTACATTGCCTATTTTTAAGTAATGTGCGCATATAAAAGAGAGCCATAATCAATGTCGTCGCGTTATCCCATAAATCATAGCGCAATTTTGTAAAAAAAAACATTTACGAACACAAAATGCATAAAATCTATATGGAATGAATCGTGTGAACAAATTGTCCTTCTTCAAATGTTGTTTCAATTTGTACAGAGTTGAGCTGTAAGAGTATCAGATTGCATTGCTGCAAGTTTTTTGTGCAATATACGAGAATTGCAGTTTACCACAATCTGTGGTTCAGGTTCATGCTGCTGCAATAATCCATTTATAAAGTGGAAAATCGACTATGCGTTCACTATTGAGATTTTATTACTTCAAATCGAGATGAGTGTTACATAAGCTTTATATTTAGCAAGCGACCTTCTACATTTTACGCCTTTATGAAAAAACTGGTATTGTCGAATTTGTTGAAGTTGATTCAATTATTATGTAACGAAGGTAGCTCTTCAAACCGAAACAAATACTAAATTTAACGCAAAGAATGACAATAAATTTTATTGCAGGCGCGTGTCGTGTCGTCGCCGTCTCTACGCTTTTGATAACAACTTGTACTCGTGTGGATACGTTATGGAGTGCTTTCAGCTATTCATCCTTATTCGGCCAGCCCAAAATATTTAACAAAATCGTTCTCGGCCTGCACAATATCTGAAATAAGTATTACCTGAAAAGGGAAAGGAATTGATTGGTCAACATTTGTACCGTCAAGTCAAGTGAACAAAATTTGGGGTCTGTACATGAACTGAGAATAAAGGATAAAGCGTGACAAATATCCGCATCAAACCAGAACATTACATGTCCATTTGATGATATGTTCTCAAATCTTGGTCGGAGGATAGTTGTACCTACAAATGAAGGCAACTGACTGAGCTAGATTACACCAAAATGAAGCACGTCAAGTGATTCTTTTAATTACTATCGTCATCAATTAAAAATGCCTTCTCTCTTATTCACTACAATAATTTCATCATGGGCGTGGGGCGCAAGTTTAGTCGCATAGTTTTTAATGGGATTTCTTCTTGAGAAATACGAATCATCGCACACACAGAGCATAGCTATCAACGAGAGATTGATTGCGACATTTGCATTTAAATTGTTGTCTACATACGAACCAAAACTACAAAATGTAAAATTCTCCAGTATCATAAATGAAGCCAATTTTTCTACCCATCTCCAGATTTGCATTACTTGTTTAAAATTCGTAAATGATACTAGTAACTTATTGATCGCGACTGATTATGTAGGCGACACATTTACTTAATAGGTTTATACATATAGCAAACGATCCAGACTGTTGTGACACTTTTTATGGCGTGGTGATGCATACTCATAATTAAATTTGTGCATGCTTTTGTACTAGAAATTGAGCAGAAACGATTGATGCAACAAGTGTAGAGATGATGCTGCTTGAGAGGAACAAAGGGTGCAATTATGGTCAAGAGTTGATTACGCATTTGACGGAAGGGTTTGTTCTCTGCAATCGCAATTAACAATATTGAAGAACTCCTGAGTTAACTCTCTCCCTCTCCTCCATTGCTTTGTTTTGTTAAATGAACCGTCTCGATGTGGCAGAGAAGACTACTGAGCCCTCGACCACTCTTATTAACAGAACTGTCTAAATCATGTATATTTTCCCTTCCTTTGTTCCACCCTGCATCACAATCAATGGTCAACTGATGGTCACACAATCGCATTGCCAAATACGAAAACAAACAAGTGGATTGCAGAATTGCATACTCAATTGGGCGATACTGTCAATGCTGTTTGTTCGTGGGATTTCTGCCAGGCCTTTGGTAATATGTATTTGCATGCACAATTTGCATGAATTTAAATTCTGATTGTGGTTTCGAAAATTGTATGATCTAAATTTCTAGGTAATTCTGATTTTTATCAGTTACATAAACATGGTTTTTAGGTTGTGTACTAATATGTATGTATCACTTGAATTTATACCTGGTGGCGTTTGCATTATCCTCAATCCAGGAAAGCGGATATTTGCACAAACAATGTATTGGTTTGATAACCATACTTGCTACTCATGTCATGTCCTTCACATGCACTTCCAAGAATGATCGTATCCCAATAAATAAATATTAATAAATTAAAACACACACCAAACACTGCTAGACACTGGATAATCTTAAAACAAATTGCACGTTCATACCAAGCACGATCTATTTACAATTCCTACGCACTCATGACACCGCAAACTTACGTATATGGATTTATTCTCTGACACATCTTTATATATCTTCCTCCAAATTAGCACTTAAAATGTCCTCTGCCAGAAGAAGCGATGTGTGTCCAGTAATGTGATAAGCAACAATGTCAAAACATGCAACGAAGAATTTACTTTGGCAGCTACCAACGCAGGCAACAAACCCCTGTCGAGGAGGGAGTGTTTGTTGAGAAGATATTCAAAGTGGGGTGATGAAGTAATATCACTCAAAGTAGTCAAATTATGTAGTTTCCCTGTGCAACATGCAGTCGCAGTCGAACGAAAGTGAATAATGCGCATACAAATTATGGTCTTTGATTTGGATTCGCAGCAGCTTAGCATCACCATCACACAAGACATGTAACGAGATGAATTGCTATGCAATGTAGCGTAAAATGGCGAATTTTAGTCTCCCTCATCCATCAATAAAAGGACTGCCGTGCATACGACTACGAAGCGTAGACATGCAACTCGGCCACCAAGTACTGCTGCCACGATGGGTCGTTGATATGACTTTTGCAAATACAGTGTCTTATTCGCAAATAAGTACCACCAACAACCTGAGTTTACTGGCTCATTGTTAAGGCTGGCAAAAAAAGTTGGCTCATTTTTATTTTCTGTCTCTTTTCCACAATTCAAACTTGATAATGTGATTGCGGGGAGTGATAGCTCGTGTACGAGTAGGTGCGTGTGTGCCAATGTTGTGCATTGTATATGTAATTACATATAATACGTACGTCGAAACGCACCAACTCCCTATGCGAAGGGACCATTTATTCTGCCTTGTTTTGTCCGAACGACAAAGGTGCTGAGGGCTGCAGTTCAGAACTTGCCTGCCGACATGTGTGCTTGAATTTCACAATAAATTTGGTTCCCATTTTCATACACAATTTAACTTGTTGAGTGACCGTGTTTCGTCGTCTTAAATCCATATTTTTTGGAGTCACATGAATATGACTTGTAGATTTATTCTGTTTACTCCAATTAATGAAACCCATAATTCGTACTAACTTTAAAAATCAATAATAAAAAAGTAATTTTACTAAATGCAGCAGTAATATACTTACTACATGAGTCTAGGTTTATGATACGGCGATGACGTCGAAGAAATATATACGAATACCCTGTGCGGTTTGTTATTATTGATGACAATTTGTTCCCCAAATTTAAACGTGATTTAGAAAAGAGCGGATTCAACAGTTACAATTATGCAATGCAATCATGTTAGACATGCCGTCACCCAATTACCCAGAGGACATTAATCCACCTTCGAGTGCTGATTTGTATTCACATAACTCGAGTTGAAGTAACGCCGACGAGCTTAGCACTCGTTGAGACTAATCCTAAATGGGTGTACTAAATACGTGAGAAAGAAACCATAGATAATGATATTCGTCGTCGTCGTCATCGTCGTCAACACTTCTTAATGAACCCATTGAAATAGTTGCATAAAATAAATACCTTTAGAACAACGAGTGGTGCATATGTACGTACAAGCAACCACAAATGCTACGAATTTGTGCTTAGGATTAGCCCACTTGTTACAAATGAACCACGGATAACACCAAAATTTTGTGCTTTACAAATGTCAAATATTTATGGCGATAAATTTAAATCTGAAGCATTTTTTGGGTAGAAAGTCACATACACAGATATATGCTTCCATGGATTGGTGTGTATCAGTTTTTTATTATTCCCAGTATTTACTTATCTCCACTACATCAATTTTATAGTGTTATAGTTTTTATGGTGTTATTGAAATGCCTGGCCAATCCTAAGTACATAATTAACGCTTCAACTAGTCGTTTTAATTGATGGGTGGTTTGGATGTATTGATAATTTATTTAAATTGGCATGCGCCACATCATCAGCGACACTTAAGGTGAAGATCAAGAAAAAGTCGGAATGAATGAAGACGTTTTTGCAAATTATTGTAATTTTGGCAGAAACCAAAGAGCATATCGAAGGCCAGGATACCAAACTGCCTCTAAATGTTTACTAACGCTGCGACTATAGAGGGTCTTAAGTAAATAGTAAATTGTTAAGTGGCAAGGCCTTTGTTCACGTCGCCCAAACTGGCTCCATAGCAAGAAATATTACCTGCACATTAGCCTGGTGCCAGCATGTACATATGTAGCGTGATAAGTGATGATGGCGACTGTATACGAACGCATGTAGGCTGACTTGACTGTTAGCGACACGACCAATTATCATTTTCCTTACTATTAACGAAAAACTAAATGATCATAATTAGCTTTCATGCTACTTTTGTGTCAATGTCACAAGCAGGGTTATGTTTACGTTAAATTTCTTCATTACTAGTATATTCCACAGGTTGATTAATATTTGCATGCCTTGGTAAAACCTTTTACTTTAACACATTTGAGTTTCGACAAGAGTTTTACATTTATTGATTATTCAAATGAGAAAAAATGCATTTCGAATATGCACTATTTTAATTTTACCAATTACCAGTCAGACCTACTAGTTATTTTATTGAAGCAATGTGTCAATATTAAAGAGTCGTTACCTTTGCCCTGCAAATGAAATCCAGCACTCCACAAATGAAGAAGAATTTGCACTCTTGATGTCGTGCGTCGTTGAAACATTCCTGTTCGTGCCGCTCATGATGATGACATTATCAGAGGCGTTATCCAAATATTTTCTTCACAAGTGTAAATGACACAGATAACCTTATTCCACAAACGGCAAGCCGATGTTAATCTATCATCTACCGAACGATCGGAAGATGAACACTAAATAACGGAGTACAATATTTCCGTGTATAAAATTTTACTGAAAATGTATTCTTATGGTGAGACTTATATTTCGTTACATCGTCCCTTACTCAACTCATGTGCAACTAAATCCAAAAAATTAGCGACAGGATGCATGGGAACTATACGATCATAGCCAAGAAGGCGGTCAAGGGTCCCCTTTTGTATGCCAACTTTTTACATTCGCATTTCATGTTGTGCTTGCAGTTGCTGATTCCCATGTCGTTATACTGTATTTTTCATCTCCAGTTGGGCACATTTACTGATGTACACCCCTTCTCAACTCCCATTTTACGCCACCACGTTTTTTACCATTGATTTGCCTATGGACATATGTACGTACGTAAATCAACTTCTTTTTTACTCAACTGCAATATAGTTTACAATGAATCCATGGAGTACTTTTATGCATCTGCAGAATAGAATTCTGCATTTGTGATTATTATAAACACTTTGTGCCACATATTTATATGACTATTTTTTATGCCTAAATCTGGCTCTAAGGAGTAGGGAGCCAAATAACTATTGTATTAAGTTACACAAATTTAGCTACAGTCGATTAAACATAACCAGATAATAATTTCACGCCATGTGATTGAAAGAAGATGCGAGCAAGCAATTCATCGGAAATGCATGTTTTTTATACTAAAAGGTACGTGTTATCATAACTTCTTGAACAAACGCTTGCACTACCCAGCCAGTGCATCCCTACTCTGCGTACGTAGGTAAGTTTACTCATTACGCAACATATAAACAAGGAATGAAGCAATATATCGTAATTAATTATGAACTTTATCATCCTTTGTTATACGTGAAGAGATTAATCACTTGCATTGTTTAATCAGCAAGTTCATTGCTACAGATTATCAGTAGCATAGGCAGGTATTGCCTCAGATAAATACATACGTAGTGATAAATAGTGAGTAGCGCAGTGAATGAATCAGTGAATAAAAATGCTACGAGTGTGAAAAATCGCTTCTGTTGATTTTTTATCATTTTTAACTGCTTGTGAAGCGTTTGCATACAGCGATGTCTATGACACGGTGTGAACATTTCAATAATGGTGTACGCCACAGCGGTGGCTTATGCACAGTTGAAAATTTGCAATGTTCTTTATGGTGTAACTCTTTTTATTTTCTTTTAAACGGAATGACAATTCATATAAAGTATATTTACGTATAAGGTTAAAGACGTTACAAACTCATCACGTAGGCAAACTCATCTAAGTAAATGGGTTTATAATACTAATTTGCAAACGGGGTAAACCAGCCATGTAATACTTTCGTTTAAAATCTCTTATGTACGGTGCGATATACTGGAGTCCAGCATTACATATTAAACCCATTAAGCTCATCAAAAATATTCTTTAACACTAACAAACGGTGAAAATTTGTCATCAATCAAAGATTGTACGATGACTAAAACATTTTCATAAGACAACTCATTATAACTGGAAAAAAGTAAAGAAGCGCTGTAACAAAACACACAATCAATTGTATATTACGGAAATAGATGACTATGAATCTTTGCATCGTTTTCTATATTGTTAAATTGTTCACAGTTTGTATAAATATTTAAGAAATAGCATAACAGTCTTGTTGTTTGGCAGATCCTTGCGGCTCTTTTAAAATTCTAGTCGTGGAAGGTGGAAAACGTTAATGAACAATAGGTCGTAGACGACATTACTACCTATATATTTTTTACAAAAAATCGCAAAAATTACCTTATTAAATTATAATGGAAGAATTCATACAAAAATTTAATATCAACATAAAGGAATACTTTAATTTAAAAATATATTTGCCCTTCTCTTTTCCTAAATCACAAAGCAACAACTAAAGGCATCCCAACTAGTAGTATATAGTAAACAGTTTGGTGGAAATTTAGGTCCAGGTAGACGGATGATTACCCAAAGTTCTCAAAATGGTGAATGAAGTACGGCAATTTTCGTCCCTTGTTGACTTCCTCGCAAGAGGACATTATACTTTTGGTGAGTGGGCGAGGTCCACAACTGAAGACTCCGATTTTACTCACCTGTATGACATAACACATACATTTCATACCATTATGTTCTATTCAGATTTATTTTTGAAACTTACGTAGCTGTGCTTCTTTTGCACAAATTTTAGGAAGGCCGTCATGTCAGGACGCCCTACACATTAAAGGAAAACAATGAGCTATTAGAGTTTGGCAAAAAATTTACTTCCAAAATAATATTTTCCAATTCATGAAAAATTGGCCATCTTCAAGAGCAAGAAGAGTTGGTTTATTTCACTGCTTTTTATATCCAATGACTTTTTTACTACATTTTTATTTTATTAATGTTGTGCACTCACCAAAATGGTTGATGGCCTTAAGCCCGGTGAACATACTTCGCTTTGACAATCTTTGGAAATGATTTTCACAAATGTACTGCAATGGAAAATGTATCGAGCGTTAGTGGAAGGAAGAATCAATGTCAATAAAGCTTGTGGTAATTTAGGATGGTAAATATATTAATGATTTAAGTGAATTTCCACTCACCAACATCGTCGTACGCAAATCAAATTTGTGAAAAAATTGGGTGATAAAAATATGGATCTCAAGCACATTTGTCACATCTTTCTTTTCCACGTCTCTCAGTACGTCAATGAACCACTCAAAATGTCGATGAGATGGACATATCCATAAGAAGTACACCTAAATAGTTAAGGCATATGGTTATTGAACCATTTATAAAATACAGCAATACCTTTAATTCATAGATAATATAATTTTCAGATTTAAATTTGCACACCTTCTTACAAGCTACCCCTGAATAACGATTTGTGGAAGTGCCAAACACCAAATCATTCAAAATTGAGGCGTACGGGGTAACGCCAATGCCACCTCCCACCATTACAGCTACTTCGAATTTGTACCAATCCTATGGGGTAAAATTAATTATGTTTCTCAGTGTTTTATTACATTTTAGCATCAACATATGCATATTAGAGAATGACAACGAAAGACTTTGAACGAATGGTTATGATTCTCACAAATATCGGAACACATTTCTCACCTGGTTACCTCCTCCAAACGGCCCCTCCAGTCTTATCTGGTTTAGCAAAAAAAAGAAAATGTGAAAACTAGAATTCTATTACGGTACTCATTTGTGCAAGCAATAGTATTACCTTAGGACTGTCCTCCTCAGGATTGTAATTGCAAGGATCAAAGTAGTTCCTCAATTTCCAAGTCCAAGGACCTTGGGCTTTGATGTGACAAGAGAGGAAATTCTCATGAGGTGCCGATGTCAATGTGAACGAGTGAAATTCATGTGGCCGAAATGCGGTACAAGCTAATCGCACCCATTGACCACTGAGATACTTGAAGTTTGGTGGTCGATAATATCGGATTTTGATGACATCAGAGGGTAATAATTCTGTCTCAATAATATCCAGCTCCATATACTTTGTCCTGAGAGAGACCACTTTGTCCAGTGTATAAATTATTCCTAGTAATGATAATTAAGTATAAACTATTTATGTAGCTAATAAAAAAACAATAAAATAATAGTAAGCTTATACCTGGTCCAACGAAGAACATCCAAAACCTTGGAGCTCCAGTAAGTCTTGCAAGCCCGTGAATGAGACATAAAATGTATAAAACAATGTAGAGTTTGTGTGCCGAAAAGAAAAATCCGTAAGCATTTTTTCGTATTGTTGGGTGTGCTGCAACAGATCAACATGAGTTTATTCTACAAATCACTGGAATTCTTGTCAAATTATTACGTCTTACCAAATACGAAAATGATGACCATTGTTACAAACAGGATGACGCCAGTTATTCCAGTCACAGTTTCAAAGAGCCAGTAGAATATTGTCGGTCTAAAGTCCGAGGGAAAGAGCATTTCTTTCGTCTGAAAAAATGAACAATGTACAGATAAGTATATAAATTTATAGTGCGGGCATGTTTTCTGTGAGCTTGACATCACATTAGGTGCTACTCCATAAAAAAAACTTACAAGACAACGGAGATGTTCCACGGGTTGGGTGGAGACTGGAATGAGAAACACAGTTACAAACTATTTCGATGTAAAATATCGAGTAAACTTACCGTGATAAAAATTGACAATGTGTCCCGCAGTGTGCAACAGTGAGAAGAAAAGAGCCGTGCAAGCAACAATCTTGTGAAACTGGATGTGGGAGTCGAGGGGGATGTACTGCTGGATTGGAAAGTCTTTCAGCTTTGTTAGCAAGTTGCGAGACATGGTAAGAAGTAGGAGACTGTAGCAGAAAGAAAGTGACGCGGCGGATCCTCGAGTAATTGCAATTCCGACGCCCATGATATGCCTCAAATCCGTATGCTCCGTCATGAATGAGTAGTCTAACGTGAAACGAAAAGCAATAACACACAAATATCAATCTTGATGTGTCAAGTAATTGGCATGTTACACGATTACAACTTGAAATAAGCATAAATGTCAATTAATTAAGAAACTTACGGATGAATCGCTCCACAAACAATGCGATCGTGACGACATAAAAGACAAAGAGATAAAAAATATGTTGACGATTCTCCTCCAGAAAAGTAGTAATGCAATCCCATTGTTTCCTTATCTTTGAACGGTATTTATCATGAACCGTTTCAATATGGAAACTGGTCATTCTGCAAGTCAAGCATTGGCATTTATAATATTTGGTATAATATCTAATTCATCATTTGTGGAGTGCATATATGATGCGTAAGACATTACAAGAAAGTGTTAATCTCATTTATGTACATACCGAGCGACGTTGGTTGAAGTATCCAAAAAGTTTTGCTTGGCACCCTTGCAGTCCAACCCGATTGCTACGAAATCTCCCTTGTATTCCTTCATCATGAGCTTAAAGTCCTCATACGTGAGATAATCCTTGGTTTCAATCCCAGAATTTGTGAACATTCCGTCGATAAGTTCGGTAACTTCTTCTTTTGACAAACTATTTGTTTTTGCAATGTCTACAAGAGAGCGGAGCATGTCGCTAAATTCGGATTTATCAATGACGCCATTCCTGTCATTGTCGCACATATCGAAAATAATTCGAAGTTTATCCTCTGTTTTTCCTTTAGAAAACAAGACAACCGTATCAAGAAACTCTTGGAAAGATATTCTTCCATCTCCGTCCTTATCAACAATGTTGAACATTTTCTTTACAAACACTGCGTCCCCCTTCATTCCAAGTGCTCCAGCAAATTCAGCTTGTGAAAGTGAAGTTCGCATGACCATGATCACATCAGAACTGACATCTTCTAATTTACGTTTTTCTCCTGGTTTCAGTCCAAAAGTGAGAGCATACGCTTCTCTGAAAAAGTGTTCCAACCTAATCAATAAATAAATAAATTAATAACTGACATGTAAATATAATACATGCAAATCTCTCGAGTCAGTTTGTGAGGAAGTTCCCCAAAAGGCGAGCCAAAACCAAACTCAATCGAAACGTAAACAAAAGTCTCGGATTGAATAATAAATTATCAAAAATAATTACGTTCAGCAATTTGTGATTAGATTGTCTAATTAATTTCGCATTTATCTCCGTCTTCCCTCGTTCAGAATGGAGGAGTATTATGATGAAGTGAAAAAAATGTGTAAATTGTGCCTTATTTCTATCGGAAGTGGGAGAAAATTTGATTTCCAAAAACATTATTCTAAATCTCACAACCCCAAAAACTTGGAAGTATGTGATGTGACCGGTTGTACGTACCGTTTCGATAATATAATGTCACTCTATCGACACAAGACAGTCGTACACGGCCAACCGGCCTGTAATGCCAGCCTGCCGGATAATAAAAAAATGGTGTGGGCTGAGAAACTGAGATGTGTTTATGGAGGTGTGGTTGGATTATTTGTTGGGGTGTCCAAAGCGTACCACCCACGCACAGCCGCGAGCCACAGAGATAGTGTACACTCTAAATGCATTGTGACGTAAGTATTTTTTAATTTTTTTATACAACATAGTTTTCATTCGTATAATTTGTAGATGAGGTTTATGATGTCAATATAAACCCCTCACAATATATACATATGTGTATTTATGCAAATATGCTTTACTATTGATTTAATTTAGTGTTCCTTTTTTATGCAGTAAAGACTTTGAATCCGAAGGATTGTGTTTCTTGGATCACAGCAGCGCCCGAAAACTATTTACGGTTACCGTAAAAAGGAAGAAGCACCAGACTGATGAAGAGTTTAAAAAATGGGTGAATGAAGCCAGCGTAGGATTCAAAATGTACGCCAGACAATTTTTCGTTAACTCAATTTATTCTGTAAGTGCCTATTTCCCAATACAAATTCCCAACAAGTAAATTCCTTTGCAACAAGAGTATATCACTTGTTCACGGAGACCATTAACTTGTGGATTTTTTCAATATTCCAGAATTATAGGTCAGAGTATGAGTTGATGGATAAGGAGAAGGATGCTGTACATGCCAAGCTTAGACAATCTGCATTCTCAGAATATTATTCAGACGAGCCTAAGCAATCTCTAACTTACTATGATTGGAAGAAAACGGGTGGGTATTTTTCCTCTAACATATTTAAAATAATATCACATGGCTTTACTTCATCTCAATTGAGGAATTTGGATAAAATTGTTTTTTAGTCATCGGACAACCGGCAGTCGCAGCCGCAGCTAAAGAGAACGGGGTGAAACCCCTTCGGAAACGGAAGGTGGAGACAATTACGTCTGGGGCACCTGTCGCCCTCTCGTCGCCGTCAAAACGACGCGTGATGGGAAACCCCCCAAATGAAATTCTCCAAGCGGTCAAAAACTTTGGCAGACCGGCGATAAGAGAATGGCTAGATAAATTAAGCCAAGTGAGTTATTCAAATATTATTTTAGTTATAATTGTGACCCAAAGGTAAATCAATGCTGGTTGTTATTTAGGAAGAAAAAGCGTCTCAGATTGGAAGCAACTGAGAATAATATAGCCAACACCATCATGGATGTAACCATGAAGATTATTTGCAGTATCAATTCTAACCTCATTCTAATCAATACTGTTTGTCTAATGTTTTGTTACCAAATAAATGTTCTAATCAAACTTACCGCTTTTGTCTTCGTTCTTTAGTTTCAGCATTGGCCAACATGGGTTCTCTGTACGTGGCTATTGTCTCGAGTGACTTTTTTAAACTTTTCAAAAATGCGTCTAATTTTGCCAAAAATTTAGCCCTAGAATGCGTGGAATCAAATTCTAAGACGAGGTCATGATCTCGTGGTACACGAACAAGCATCATTGGCTTCTTTCTTGCATCTTGAGTAACCTCGATGACTAAAGTGTCACAACCCCGAAGGTTGACGCATCTAATCTTCTCCCCCTTCCGATTCATTGTATACAGGGCTTCCTCTGGACCAAATTTTACTTTGACCAGTCTCTTGTGATTTTGATGCAGCCATTCTTTAACAATCATTTTGTCCACAGACTTTCCGTTGTTATTTTCTTCTTGTTTCATTTTCAGCCGTCGTCTTCGACTATTTTGTAATTTGACAACTCCATATCCAGCCCCTGCACAGATAATTGGAACGAAACAAAGGAAGACGCAAGCGTAAATGTACACCACTTCACTCCCCTAAAATTTACACAATTTATAATTAAACACGCATCATGAAATAATATGACAAGAGGCAAATAAAATACTAAGCATAACACATTAACATAATCAATTAGGATTATATAAATATAATAATTATATACAACATATAGAATATAGAAGTATAGAATGCAAGACGTACGGCAAAGTAGTCAAATCCTCTGAGGTAACTACATGGTTCCAAAACGGAAGCATTTAGTTGCATCGGCTGGGGGCAAGGGTCTCCATTATGCCAAAAGAATACATTTTCTTGAATTTCATCGTTCGCCATTGAGGTACTGTTGACGATGATGTCGTGCAATTTTATTTTCCTTAGATCTTCAATCTCTTGCTTGGTAAACATTCTGCAAATGTACATAGAAATGTACGTGGCATTTTACAAACCTGTGAATAAAATCATATACACTATAACTAATGATTTATTTAAGGTACCCGTTATCCTCATTTTCAAACCACAAGCGATCAGCATCTCGAATTCTGGTAAATTGTTCTTTTATGATTGCCGTGAATAATGGGCCGGGACCATCGTGAGACTCCAACATTCCACCCAAATAGACATCAATATTGTTCAAGTCGCCTTTGTAAAGCTCGCTCAGCTTTGCAAAGACGTGAGGCTGACAAAAAATACAGATTTGCAAAAATTGCCATAATTATGGAATATAATAGCAATAAAAATAGTTATTTCCGTCGCCTACCTCTTCCTTGAAAAGTATGGGGTTTATTTCACTCCAATTTGAAACTCTAGCCAGTCCAAAATACTTCCGCACAGTGTTATAATCAGGAAGACCATTGTCTCGTCCACGCATAATATTTAAGGCACCCAAATCACGTCTTGAAAAATCCATTGGTCCAAAGAGTCTATCCCTCACATCTGAACAAAGGATTACATCTTCACGTTCAGCAATTTGTGAACTGGAAGAAAGCAGAGCCAAAAAGTTCTCAAATACACATCCGTGAAGATTTAATACGAAGGAAATTACCTAAGGCCTCGAATAATCTCCTCAAAAATCCCAGAGTGAAATACATCCTACAATTTTGTAACAAAATAATATGTAATTTGAATTCAGATGCACCAACAACGAAAGTACAAAAGGGGAAACGTCGCATACGTCAGAATCCCACCAAGAAGCGCATAGTCTGATTGCGGAACCCCCTTCTTCTGTCTTTCTAAATTTGCAACTGGCATCTCGCATATAGATTCCGGGAGGAATTAAGGTATGCCCAAATCTGAAAGCGGCACTTTGAAAGACGTGAGTGATTCCTAGGATTACAACAAAAATTGACGTTAATACTCAAGTCTTCCAACATATTTTAGATTCACTTGGCAAGACTTACCTGGGTGCATATCCGGTTTGTATCCTTCATAAGGAGGAAGATTCGTATTCAGGAAGGCAGGCAAATATTCATACATGATGACGTTCTACGTACAAAACAACAAAGTTACGCCTGATTGTACAGCAATTAGCATTCTTATAAAGGATACATGCATGCACAACACACACACGAATATCTAAGGATAAGTCTAATGTCATCACATTGTTCTTCATCTTATCTCTTTTCTCACATCATAATACTTGCCCTCATTGACAGCTTATGACTTTGAAATGCCTATGGATTTAAGAGATTTTGAACATACTTACAATGGGTTGAAGGTCTAATTAAGCATTTTCTTCACGATTGGGAAAAATGATGCCAACTTCGTGACAAATCATTGAAATAAACAAGTTGACTAAAAAAAGCAGAATGCAAGCAAATTATGCACTTATTTGGACTAAACAAAAATGGACGAGAAATCTGGTGACATTCTACACAACGTAACTTTCGAGTTTAACTAATTAATTAATGCAATTTTATACATTTTAATTGAAGAGACTAATCCTTTAATAAAATAATCAAAGCAAGTACACATTTTGTAAATCGATTTGGAAAGGACGAGCAGGTCTGGTAATTGGTATCATAGGATGTACATTGTGGTTATAAGATGATTGAAAAATATTGACATTCCAATCATTCAATCATGACCACACATTGCTTGGAATCTTACCTGCATGGTAGCAATAACGAATCTACGTGTTCGCTGAAATATTTCTTCATCCGTCCAAGTTGGGTGCTTCTCTTGAATTCGACTTGCAACCACATTGTGCCATTTGAAGAAAAGTATACCGAATGCCAGCAGGGCTGGATTTTGATTACTTCTTGGGTCGCCCACAACTGTTGATGCAAATGAAATAATAAAACTGTTATTTTGGACATGGTTTGGTATAATTGCAGACAACCATGTAGATGTACCTAACCAAAATAATGTAAAGTTTGTGGTCATATATTCGTCACCCTACGTGTCAGTGCTAACTGGGGATGGGCACCATAATCACCAATCGAATATAGATCAAGAATCAATTACATGTTACATACGTGCGATGATCTAATCTGATATTTCCTTCGTCAATATTCAATGACCACTACAGACCACTCACAAAGTGCCTTGAAGGCATCAGCAAATTATTGATTTCAAACAAATAGTTATCATCATTTGCCGTGTCTTATTTTTTAAGTCGAACTATGCCATGTCCACTAATCATATGTACGTACACATGTATATCTATTTGAGAGAATTCGTCCTACATAATTCAAAATTGTGCACAGATCAATTGCATCAATTGCACCTACATACGTAACCTCCACTGCTAACTTATTTTCATACAAATGCATGAAAGCGGTGTGCATAGATTTTACAACAGAGAATACGAGGAAGTAATGCCACCATTAAGAATGTAATGCAACTTGGATCATAAAGACTGCCTTGATGACCTTGCTTTTAATGAATGATGAATGAGTGACAAAATCATGTCTATATTAATTTCTTAGTTTTTGTCCACAATTAAAGCACAATACTATAAAATAATGCATGCATTTGCTGTTGATTCATCCAACTATAAAACCAAGCGACCATAAAAACAATTTTTTCTCAACGTTTTCGTGTTGTAGTGTACTACCAATTCATCAATCGCACATTCAGCACCAACTAAATAAGTGAACTACAAACTTGTAAGTAACTGGCAGATGCAAAGGCGAACGAAACCAAGGTGTCTCAAAATGACGGAAATGAGCACGTATTATTTATCCAATTGTATGGTGTACCTACATCTACATATAAATTCAATAGCTTTATACCTGCTAAGAATGTGCAAATCACCGTATATCCATTATATATTGAGGAGGTTTTGTGGAATTTGTGTGAATATTTATTTGTACAAACACTACCGGAGATGGCGAGGACATGGATTGAGATACATAATTGAGATTGATCACAGAAACCACAAAGTCATTATGGATTGTAATGTAACTATTATCTATTACAGAGATTTGTCACTCACGGAACATTTTCTCAGGATCCAGCATTCTGAGGACGTGGGGGGACGGGGCACTGTTGAGCGGAACTCTTTCCGCGTTCCTGGGAGGCAACTTCCCCGTGCTATCCGTTCGCAGACTTCCGTTGACGAATGACCTAAGCGCGGCCACCCACGCCTCAGACGTGGAGTAGACGAAACTCCCATCAATCCAACTAGTCGCCTTGTTTATCTGCAATGCAATTGGAAAATTAGAACATTCGCAACGTTTTACCATACAAATCTCATAAAGTTATCTCAAAGTTTTACTAAATATCTGGCTATTCCCATTTCAACAGACTCAACACATTCTTCGATCACAGAGAGAGAGAGAAAGCATCATAAAATCATGTTCTTGTGGAAGTTGAAGATAATTAAGCAAAATCGAGAGACAGAACGACGGCACGTGTGATTTATTAGTTCATGATTATGAAGAGAGACCTCACATCTCATCACAATCAATGTCCCTCCATTCTTATTCACGTTTTAAGTGAATCACATTTTCTCATCTCATTCATAAACTACACATATCTGTATATGTGTAATTTCTTGCACAGAAATTACGAGTGTAAACTAGCGGCACTGTAACATTAATGAATGTCACGACTTTACATAAAATATTTTATATTACAATTTTCAACTCGTTATTACATACTTTTGTTGAGTGCCAACTATAGACTTGGATAATAGAAACCAACCAAGTTGTCAACCAATGCTATGAGCAATTGTGTGTCTCTACCTATGTATGCATCATGAATATAGTTGCAGGAGATTTTTTCAGCAATTTATCATTTTATTGGTAATGGAAATAATTTGCGATGAGTTTATACGCAGTAAATATGTACTCCAGAGCCATGAAATATTTCAAATCTATTGTGCATTCTTGTGGGTTATTTGTATTTTTTCTTCTCTGTTGGTCACTGACCAGTTCTAAGAAATGCGTGACGTGAATGAAAGCATTTGATCACATACGAATTACGAAAGTAATCAAATGAAATGTAATTAGACAAATCATCAGGTAATCTGGTGGGAGGAAAATCGTGATTGAGGAATACACTCGAAGTGAGGGGATGGTTCTTTTAATCTTCCTTAAATAAAATATGCCACGTTTGCATGTGGACGTAGTGTGGCGATGAGATGCGACTGTCACTTGCTTATTATTACCTGCGGCTGGCTGACCCTTACCTTCTATTTATTTTTTGACGTCGTAGCAGTCTAATCACTTCATTCAGAGGCATCCAAGAAGCTGAGCAATGCAAAAATCAACCTTGTCCCCATTGCAATGAGCGTCGCTTTCTGTTTATTATATTCTACACACACACACGACGTTGCTCTTTACTACGACAGTGCTTATGCATAATGTGTGGTATGCCCACATGTCGTTGCTTGGTTGACTCAATTGTGACTTATCATTACGTACTATTACATATTTCCATTACCACCAGGGCAAAGCCAGTTGGCGATGTGCATTTGTCTTTATGCAGATTCTATCATCCAACTTTGCTGACTTCCTTTCAAACGAAATACGTATTTAATAGGAAAACAAACCCAATTCATTGCCCAATAACGATACCTTGTCCTGTATTAGCTCACTGGTAAAATAATTGCAAATTGCTTTGACTAATTCCATGCTCATGGAACTAATCATTGTCATTGACTTGGCGAAAAGATTGAATGGAATTATATATTCCAATTGGGTTCAAAAAGAAGTAAAATTGGATTCAGGTAGAAGTAGGGGAGGTTATTGAGGTTTATTTGATTTCATTTCCACAACTTTTCTACAAGGGAGTCAACGAGGCATGAAATGGGGTTCATTTCATACTGTATGATTTGCTGGTATATTTAGTTACATACGACGTGACTCGAGTGTCAGGTTGTGGTTACGCGTTGTATCTAATATCTTGTTGAGCAAGAAGCAGTACCGTAAGCAACTCGGTATGCACAGAAATGTCGTCATTGTAAAATTGAAATTGGTTACAGTTGTTCAAAACCCAACATCTTTTCTTGGTTTTCATGCACATTATTGAAAGGTGACATAATGCAATGCGGTATTTTGATGGAATCAAGATTGTGTTGAATGAGATATAAATATTTAGCTATACATTAGAAAGAAAAAATGTACAATGAATCGAAAGCTTACCTGTTCTCTGGGCCTGTTCGGACTTTGACCAGTCTTCCTGTCGTAGCCAGCACGATGGAAGGGCATGTAGCGGTTTCCTCTACAATCTGAGTCATACATTTCGTCACACTGGTCAATGTCGATGCGATGCATTTCAATTGGACATCCGGATTCACTAGCCATGAGAATTTCAGATGAGACAACTTGTCCTAAAATAAGTTAGCATGCATGTATTAGGTCAGTTTGTTAGCTTGATGAGATGAGCGCAGTCAGTTTAAGAGCTAATAAGATTTGCTTTCCATAATACGCATTAGAATACAAAGTATGCATTTCTTGTTGCATTATTTGCTCACCAAAGAAAGCCAGCATCGCGGTCCTATTTTTCGCCGAAGGTAACCCATCGATGCCTTTCAAGAAAACTTGACTTAGCTTTCTTGGGCTTGGACGGTTTTGACCGGCGAGCATGTACACGCCATCTGCATATGCAGGGGGCGTGCGCCGTGTCAATTGACTATCTGCAAATTAAGGACAAAAAACTATATATGACACATACAAGACAGATCTAAAGAACAATTACACATGGAACAAAACAACATTTGTTAACTCCCTATTATTTTTAAGAGCGATGCAAATAACTTACCCACAGACCCCCACTCAGGATGGGCAAGGTTGTTGTACCATCCGTCATATCTTTGCTTTTCGGTGAAACTTTGTGCACGCTCTAAAAACAAATCATAAAAAATTACAATTCATTCAGACAGCCCAGACAGATGACATTTTAATTAATCTTTAACTATAAATCAAATTGGTGGGGAGCGCAAGTATATTCGAAATCGCTATATATGCAATATGTATATGGAACATTATTGACAAAATGTGTGCCTTTCACTCTGCAGTCTTTCATTGTAAAGTTGTGCAGATGATGGTTTATAAATAAACTATGCATATAATCCTATCTTCTAAAAGTCTAAGGACTACGTGCAGAGTATAGTTTATGTGACTCCGTGTTGCAAGACGTGTTGGGACGAATTCGATTTCAATTGAAATCAGAAGAAGGTCATTTTATAGCTGTTGTTCGCATCAAATTTGCATTTGGTATGGACTCAGTCACTCAAAGTGTTCTGCACCATGTTTCATGGTGTGGTGATGAAAGTGAGATAATAGATAATACAAAGATAATCAACATATTAAGAATGTGAATATGACATATTATGCAAGCAAGCAATATGAATCATGATTATCTATTGGGACACAAATTTATCCTCGGCTGGGCATCTCTCATTCTCGCCAATAATAGTGCAGCATTATCACCGCGACGGCATTTTTCCCTTTACGTACCGAGCCACCAGCAGAACAAAGTCCGAGTGAGTGCTGTTGTGGTACAGATTCTATAGATTACAGATTCCTCAATATCTGCATATATGCATACGCATGGGTGACAAGAGTGGAAAAGGTTTAGGTCGTTGGAGGTCAATTGCTGACAAACACTACTCGGAAACCTTATTGCTGCTGAGAATAAGTATATTATCGTGTCATGTCCAAAGAAGCATGACAAATAGACCATTTCAAAACAATATTTCGACTAGAATTGTGTTTCAAGGAGCGGTTACATATTTGTAGTAGCACTGAGACAGATATTGTTATTGCCCATACATAATATTCCCCTATAGCTGTTTACCACCAAAATATTATCGATTCATAACGCTGATCACCAGTCAGTACCGACCGACCGACCGTGCTTATTATTATTCTTAGCACATAATTCTTATAGCCATTACACACCTTCAGTAAGTTTAAGTAGATGCATGCATGAAGTGGAGGAGAGGAATAAACTAACTTCTTGGTCACAACGATTATCATTATCTCAACCTAACTTGGCATATTTACATAACTCTAAAATCAATTTTAATAGTCAATGAAAAATGGCACATGGTTTCAAACCCAATTAACTACTGACTGACAGGATGAACATGTGTACATCTTTCAGCAAGTTTGTTACTACAGCCACATTTCGATTTGATATCACAACAACAGCAAACTATCACTGAAGCCTACACTGAAGCATCAAGATTTTAATAATTGAAACGTTTATGTCTTTCTAAACGCGCACTTAGTGAATGTCGATGTAATAACAATAAGTTCATTACAATAAGTATTATGTTGTTGGCGACGTGACATTATGCTGCTATAAAGTTGGACGAAAAACGAGATGAGGATTTACGATTAAAGATTTTCATAGTTGATAGGAAACTTTTTTGCATAAAGCGAATCCTGCTGAATTTTAAGCAGAAAAAGGAGCTTGCTTAATAAAAAAGTTGAGGAAATATGAGACTATTTTTATTTTATTGTTTTATGACAATTTGTACTTCTCTTTAATCGTAATCTTGACATTAACTCTGAACTACATTGCATTTTGATTTCTTAAAAATACAGTAAATACATACATTTAAATAATAACTACTAGGTACCTTCAATGCCCATAGATATTCACATATCTATTCACCACTGAAATGAGATGGTACTATCATTTTCTAAATAAAAAAGGTGAGACTACACCTGATCTCATAAAGCAATTTATCAACCAAATATTAATTTGCGTATCTTTGAAAGATGATAATTTATTTTACTGCAGCTGTCTCAGATAGATAGCCGGCGATACACAGTGGGTTTGCCGTGTCATGGCCTATGACAAATATTTATGTTTTCCTTGCAGGTAGATATTGTAAACTTAATAAATTGTGGATGAACACCCCTATTTTTTTTTTACTGAGAACTGACAAGTGGTTCTTTGCTTGCGATGACCAACAAATATTCAGACGCATATTTGTTCACCGCAACTTCATTAGCAAGTGCAAATCGTAGTATGAATAAGATTTAAATTATTGAACCTCCAAATGGAATCACATCAAATTATATATAGTGTTTTTTTTGCAGCCAGGTGAATCAATGACCCTTGACACTTTGACTTGATATTTCATTTCATACAGCATTGTGTGTCATCATCTCTTTTGATGGTTTGACATGGCATTAGCATCAAAGCTTTGAAGTACACGAATATTTGCACACTTGCAATCTCGACGTTGGATCATGCAAAATACCCATCATTAATATTAGTATAATAAAAAAAAGCTATACTTTGACCACCTATGCACATGTGATAGTCAGTTACTTTCTTAGCAGGGATATAGAAATAATATTAGCATACTCAATTCTCAAAATGTTCGTTGATTGACTTCACAGCAGGTCCAATGATTAAAATTAACACGATAATAAACCGTTACAACGCATGTAACCAAGGGGTGAAAGGAGTGTCATACGTCAATGTGAATATCAAATTGTTCGAAAATTTGTTAAGATTGACACTTCTGACGTGTTTTCGACTTTTGTGTCTTATTTGTGTCAAATTTAACAGTTGATAACCCTCATGTGACCTTTATATGACCTCTGAGGTCAAAATGGAGGTCACCATTGAATTCGGGGTTAAATTTCAGTTGAAATTGAAATAGATATGTCCTATGACCTTTACATGACCTCTGAGGTCAAAATGGAGGTCACCATTGAATTTGACATTGAAAAATAGTTAAAAATGACGTGTCACATGTCAAAACTGACAAGTGACACTTTTTCGTCACTTTTCGTCACCGTGACGATGTCATCGTCACAGGTGACGTCCAAACACAAAATGACATGAATTTTCAAATTCCTCGTTGAAAAATAGTTAAAAATGATGTGTCGCATGCCAAAATTGACACGTGACACTTTTTCGTCACTTTTCGTCACTGTGACGACGTCATCGTCACAGGTGACGTCTAAACACAAAATGACATGAATTTTCAAATTCCTCGTTGAAAAATAGTTAAAAATGATGTGTCACATGCCAAAATTGACACGTGACACTTTTTCGTCACTTTTCGTCACTGTGACGACGTCATCGTCACAGGTGACGTCCAAACACAAAATGACATGAATTTTCAAATTCCTCGTTGAAAAATAGTTAAAAATGATGTGTCGCATGCCAAAATTGACACGTGACACTTTTTCGTCACTTTTCGTCACTGTGACGACGTCATCGTCACAGGTGACGATGTCACAGTGTCCATCTTCGAACTCGTCCTGTCCCTTGACGTTAGGAGTTTACGTTCAAAATTTCAAGTCTCTATGTCTTTTCGTTCAAAAGTTATCGGAGCTACGGACAGACAGACGGACATAACGATCTTATAAAGGGCTTTCACCCCTTAATAAATGCATACGAGAACATATTTATAAAGTTAACACACAAGAGATTTATCTTGGATGTCTAAAGACAGTAATTTATTTACATCCTCATCATGGCTAATTTTGCAAGATGTGCCGCTGCCCAATTAAAATTACCGTTGTGAGCTTCGAAAGCATGGGGTTTATATGTATCTAACATGGTGCTTAGATATTAGTTGGAAAGGGTTGACCATTTACATACATTTTATATATCAAGAACAATGTATATTCAATAAATTGTAGCTAATTACAATCGACAAGTTACATGGAACTAAAGAGTGGTCAAATACTTATATTTGTACATACACATAGTCGCGCACATTTGCCATTATTTTCATTAAATTGGCACAATTAGTTGTGATTAGAAGTTGCCATGAATGTTACCATTACGGGATGTGAATGTACGAAACTTACATATGCACATATCCATTGCGTGAACATAATGCATAGTAATAATAATAAAGTCATGGAGTAGCACAATGGACTGATGTAAATATCATCCTGTAACTAGTGCGAGGAGATACTTGCGTTAGTATCTCACTAATAATTTTGATTTTTCTGACTAAGGATATAGATACTGTAAATACTCTTATTACAGGCTGTGCATATATAATGTGCACGTAATGTGTACAACAAATAGTCACTATGTACTTCTACCAACCACTATTTCACATCTTGAACCACTCAAGTTCAACAATGACGTGTGTTGATTAGTTTACTTAAGATGATCAATGATAATAGAATAGCAAATAAATATTCAACTAAACGACTGGAGTGAGTGAGTTTTTACACGCAGCCAAAGGGCATATTTGCCCTAGTTTTATTTGAAATTAGTCTAGTGCAAATATTTTGATTTGCAAATGTCTGGGCCGTCTTCTCTCAACAGAGATATTTATTTAATGCTTCGATTGGCTGATAAACATGCATTGTTTAACTTAATGTAAAAGGTAGCTAAAAAACAGAACACTTAAACCAAATGACCCCCACCCTATGCTTAATAACACCACGGTCTCTGTTGTAGCAGATTAGATCAGACCCTTATTTATTACGTACATTACAAGAAATTGTGACGAATAAATTTGTTTCATTCGTCAATGCATTTCGTAGAACGTACGTATAAAAATACTCTTAATAACATTAAATGCTTTAGACAGTCGTTTTGCTGCCGCTAGCCATGTGACACCTGTTAAGCTTAATAAAGAGGGTGCGCTATGTGTAACATATTAGTCAACAATTACTAACTCTATTAAATAATTAATACATCACCAATAAATTCTGCATAATAATTGTACAATATGCAAAAAATATAGCGCAGGTGGAAAACATCATGCAGTTACATTAATTTTACGAGCCTTTGAAGAAGTGGAAAGTAATTTTTGATTAGATTTCAATGCATATGTATCCACTTACATGCATATTTTATAGTCAGTGCTGTCAGTAGACAGATCTGTTTATAATTTTATGTTT